GGCACATGGGATCATGTAGGCAACAACTTTTCTATAGAGATAGCTGACGCTGTCCTTAGGGTGTGCGCTCTGTGTACGCAAGGTGGTTGCAGGTTGGTGTGCTACTTGTATGTGATGTTTTTTCAGCCGTCTTTCGTCGACTTCAGATTCATTTTGCACGCAGGAGAAAGTCCACCAGGTGAATGTTTTTGGTATCGGGGTGGCCGTAGTGTTGGAAATACCATTCTGTTTGGACTCGTGCTTCATGCTTCTCAAGGACAAATGGAAGCGAGTGCAGCCACTGCCCAGGGGAGGACGAAATACCACTGACGCGCATTGGTGAAACAATGTCAGGGGACAATTATCACGAGCCCTTTCCCTGGGACGAACTTACACACATTCTTTACAAACTTCCATCCTATGTTTAGAAAGTAAAGAGAGACTACCTTTGCGGGTCAAATAGACGCGAATGCAGTCATTCACTTGGTCATGTGGAACAGAACACAGTGGCTCACGACGAGTCGTCTGGGAGAGATGGTATACTCACACACCCTTACCTGGCTGAATAGAGCTGTGGATATATCAATTGCGACTTCTATTTTCCCATACCCAGCCGATACGAATCACTGAATCGACTCAAAAGAAGCCTTTGAGGTTGTCCACTGGAAGCGAACAAACTACTGAAATGGTCTACACCGACGGTTGCTGGCAAATGTTAAGGCAGTGGCTGTTCGGCTAGCGAATCTAGTGCTTTGCTGTCAGAAGACGGCGGTGTAAGTGCTAAATCTCCACTATCCAACTTCGACCCCCATTGACGATCTCACGCCGTCCCAAGTCCCTAATGCCAGTCGTGCGCACTCCGTGTGTCTAAGCCATAGACATTGCGCAAACACTGTTCCCACGCATCAAACCCCAAGACGCTGGCCTAGTCGTGTGGGCGACGTGGAAATGAGAAGTCTGAATAGTCCCCTGACACGCTAATCCACGACTAATCTCTTCCTTCTGCGCGTAACTGTATTGGCTTGATGATGAATTACGGGAAACATATGCTTGCCATTTTGACTATTCTACGTAAGTACAAACGCAAAACTGGGACAGGGTGAATATTAATCGGACAATGCACGAGAGAGAAAGCACTCGACCAAGAGGCGGAACAGCTGCCAGGTCAACCAAATCCCATAAATGCTCAGCTGACCCTCCTCGAGGTGATAGTCGACGACTCAGACAAGCACCAATGGCCGATACAGCGAAATAAGCATATTCCCCAACTCAAGGTCGACAAGTGCTGCAAATAATTCGAAGTGCTCTAAGAGTTGCAGCAGGTAGGGCTAACTCATGAAATGCCAACCGGAATTCCGAAATGCATTTTCGTTTCGAAAAGATTAATTAAATAGGATTGTAAAACTAGTCAGCCTGTAAAATAATTATATAATATTTCAGTTAACGCAGGATGCCGGCTTTTGAAAGAATTTCCATCCGACTGCGTGCAAAAAATACTCTGTAAAAATGACTGCCTAAATATCATGAATTTTTCTCATTGATTTTCAATGCCCTTAAAAAATCAATTATATTGCATAGAAAGCATGCAGCAAATATTCATTCTTTTGCTCATTTGGTAGAAAATTACGTCATCTTCCAATTTTATACTCAAGAGAGGGACATAATTCGGTTTTTAAAAAGTTTCTGACTGTGGAACTTTTAGATGCGGGGAAACGGCCGTTCATAAATCACAATGTCTATACATTACCAATGTGTCTTGTAAAGTTAACAATATGGAGCAAATCCTCTGCAAAATTTTATGAACCCTATATGTTTCCCCTTTATTACCATAGAGAAATGTGTGGTTTTCCGTACGCAGAAAATAGACGGCTTGTAGTTTCGGAACCCTGAATACAAGTGTAACCGTAGAACGGGTACAAAATTATTCGGGAATTGGAAAAGTTTCTGAAAATCAAATTGTACCCTCCCTTTGAGTATAAGATTGGAAGGGAACGTAATTTTCTACCGAATGGGCAAACTAATGACTAGTTTTTTGCATGTTTTCCATGAAATATAATTTGACGTTTAGGGACATCGAAACTCAATGAGAAAAATTCATGCTGCTTAAGCAGTCATTTTTCGCATGCAGCCTGAAGGAAGTTCTTTCAAAGCCGGCATCCTGCGGTACCTGAAATATTATAGAATTATGTTGCAGGCTGACTAGATTTACAACCATACTTAATTAATCTTTAGGAAACGAAACCGCATTTCGGAATTCCGGTTGACCTTTCATGAGTTAGCCCACCTACTGCAGTTCATGTAACTCATTGAAATTGGTGGTCCAACTAAGCTAACCGAATCGTCAGCAATAATTTACATCTGCTACGCCGAGCAATTGACCCTTACGTTCATACCAGGCTTTTACTAGACCAGCACTGCCAGTCTACCCGCAAATCTGTTGACGTCATACCTGCTGGTGGGTTGTTGACTATCCATGACCTCTGGCATCTACTCGCAACCACCCTCTCTATATGTCTTACAAAATCGTCAATCAGCACATTTTTCAAGTATAATTCATGAATTCCTTTTTACACAGACTCTACTTATCCGATAAAGCTGCCAGCACAGTAGTTGCAGGCGAGACCTTCTTTGGCGAAATGCTGACGCATGCTCTGTGTCGTTTTCATCGCAGCCATTCGTGCATGGAACGTTCAGGTTTTTCAACTCAATTTGCACTAATTTTGCCCTTTTTCGTTGACTGACATTCAGGCAGCTGTTCTTCAGAACCTCCCATCAGGATTTACTTCCCAGCCGTCAGCTACAGTAGGTGGGCTAACTCATAAAATGTCGACCGAAATTCTGAAGCTAGTTTTAGTTTCGAAAAGGTTAATTAAGTAGGGCTGAAAAACTAATCACCTTGCAGGAAAACTCTATAATAATTCAGTTACTTCAGGATGCCGCCTTTCGAACGAAATTCTTTCCGGCCGCATGCAAATACTAAACTCTGTAAAAAATGACTACTTATGTAGCATACATTTTTCTCATTTGTTTCCGATGTTCTTAAATATTTAATTATATTTCATAGAAAAAATTCATAAAAATGCTCATTCTCTCGGTAGTAAATTACGCCGTCGTCCAATTTTATATTTCAAGGGCATAATTATGTGTTTGAAAAGTTTCTAATTGTGAGATTCATTAATATCGTGAAATGTTCGTTCATAAATCATCATATCTCTGCATTTACCAATGTGACTTGTAAAGTTAAAAACATGGCTCGAATCCACTGCTAAATGTTTTGAATCCCACATGGTATCCTCCTAATACCGTAGATTAATGTATGATTTTCCGCACGGGGAAAATATACGGCTTGTAGTTTGGAAACTCTGAATGCCACTGCAAGGGCAGGTCAGGTTCAAAATTATACGGAAATTGGAAAAGTTTTTGGAAACCGAATTATACCCTTCCTTCTTGCATAAAATAGGAAGAAGAAGTTATTTTCTACGAAATGAGCGAGAGAATGAATATTTTTTATGCATGTTTACCATGAAATATAATTGGACTTTTAGGGGCACCGAAAATCATTGGCATAAAATCCTGGTACCTAAATAGTCATTTTTTACAGAGTGTAGTTTTCGCATGCAGCCGGAAAAAAGTTCGTTCGAAAGCCGGCATCCTGATGTAACTGATTATGGAGTTATGCTGCATGATGAATAGCTTTGAAACCCTACTTGATTAATCTTTTCGAAACGAAAACGCATTTCGGAATTTCGGTTGATATTTCATGAGTTAGCTCACCTACTGTACACATACGATGAGAAGGGATGTTTTTCGAAGCCTTCAGCTACTTGCTGACGTTTGTCATTGCGTAAGTGACCGCACTCCGACACGACAAGCCCTGTGGGGGCTTACGGAAATTCGCCCACTTCTATTTACTATTCTTTAAATAACCCTATTTAAACCACGCCATAATTTTAAACTAGGTGACTCTTCGGATACGGCCTGCCCTAGTTACTTCTCGCATTGACTACAGTTTACCGCTTCTCATAATTTGCGTTCCGCTAACAGTATTACGTGTGTTGCCTAATAGCAACTTTGCAGTAGCTTGTCTTGCGCGTTTATGGTCGAGGCACTCAACCGGCTTAGTCGTGCGTATAGTTTCGCCTTACAAACAGCTCATCCAATCAGAGCAGAGCACCTTTCCATCCCAACTTTAGTCCCCGTATCTCGCCGGACTGAAAATCATAAGGTGTAAATTCACTCTGACGGCTGCAAAACTTCTACAAAGATTAATAAAAAAACAAATCTGGATGGTGTGCGAAGTAGAAGGGCGGAGGAAGGAGAGGATTAAAGAGTGAGGGAAGTCAAGCATGGGGGAAGAGCTTGTTTCCGATGTGTTCCTCTCTCTCTCTCCCTTCAAAGGTCTGGGCTGAGCGATTGACTTTGCTGTGGGGGTGGAGAGGGTGGCAGATGCCGGCTGTAAGTATTACTGAGCTCTGTACACAACTGGAATTAGACTTGACGGCCACATGTTTTCTCACGCAAGACACAGGCCCTTCAAAGGGCCGGGGGGAGAGGGGGGGCATTAGTGGCAAACAGATCGAGAGCCGGAGAGGTGAGGATGTCAGTCTGCATTAGAACCAGGAATGCCTAATCTAGGATCATGGTTGCCTTTTCGCCGATAGCGTAGAAGACGGAGGCGAGGGTCTCGGAAACATCTGAAATCGTACACAGGCATAAAAATTTGCAGTGTGGTGTGAAAACCAGAATCTGTGGCATGGGGGGGGGGCTGGATAACAGATAAAGGGCTTGCAAAAAATAACAGCAAAGACATCAATCCCTCCATCTGTTGTACACTGCTACCCCCAGGCGCTTGATTGATCCGATGGGAGTTAAGCTACGAACATCCATCCATTTCGAAATGTGTATAAAGGTGCGAGCATCTTTCATGTACACGGAGAACGCCTCCACTGTCTTCTCCGTAGGCCGGTGAAGCAAATGGCGCGATGAGGGCGTGGGAGGGCGGGGGAGGTAGGCAAGGTTAGCTAGGTAGACCCTAGCAGCTTTTGGTGCCGAAAAGATGTCCGATTGACACTGTCCACAATAAAGTTGACGACTGTTCGCCACAGGTGTTGGCGAAAGTGTTTTTGAATGATGAAGTGATTATCGTCCGGATAGAACTGCGTAAAAAAGACGCAAAAAATGCATAAATAAGCAAGGAGAAGGGGACTGTTGCGAAAACCTTGTTGAAGAAAAACAAATGCTGTAAGAGAAACTTTGAGTTTAAAAGAAGTAACTGTAGTTCTCGCTTTGAATGGGATTTACAGTAGACGCGAGCGAGCATGCGGAACCGAGAGTCAACGCTCACGGAAAAGAGCGGAATTGGGGGCAGAAGTCATGTGACCAGGCCGAACTCTGTCTGACCGATGCGCCCGCGAAGCTGAACGCTACTCACATGAACAGCAACGACTGATCAGTCAGCAGGTTGGCGTGGGAGAGGCCAACAGACACGCCGATTTGACCGCAACTGCGCCGACCCCAAAGACAACAAAGGTCACGCAAGCCTGTCAGCGGTCAGCCCCAGGGAGGTCTAAGCCAGTCAGCAGCAAACAGGCAGGTCAAGGTTCGTGCGTCGAGCATAGCTATAATACAAGGCAAGCGAGAAGACTAAAAAACTTAAGACTGACAGGAGCAACACGCACACTAACCTGATGATGGAAGCGAAGAAGTTTCCGAAACGTCAGCTCAAATACAGTATGGTCCATGAATGCGCCATCTCTACTCCTTTGTCAACTATGCACAGACAATAATTCGACCGCCATTAGCGACGATATCCGTCGCGTGTCTCACGAATTATGGGCAACATCGATGACTTACAAACTACAAAGTCCGATGGGATCTCACAAAAGGGAGAGTGTCATAAAGGCCAAATTGACAAGCAGCCTCTGCAGCGGGTTATCTCGTCAGCTAACAACGCTGCAAGCTAAAACTATTCGTGCGTCTTGGTAGATTCAAGCGCATTGTGAAGAATGCGTTGATGTGCTATGGGGATGAATTCTCCCATGCATCAGTAGACTGTCCGAGCCCGTCAACCATTTGGCGTTGGGAGTTTAGGTGCAGTGCAGGTTGATGCGGTGTAATCAGGACTGACCACTGCTCAACTATACGAAATGTTGTGGCAGAGGACTGAAAATGAATAATCAGGATTCTGTGTTTGTCTGAACCGACTTAGGTAATCGAGAACGGAACTTCAAGTGCAACGGCATACAAATCGTGCACCGACCCACTTAATCATGATCCACATTCATTTAGCTGTGCACCCTCATTTAACGACTTTTGCCTAAAGTCCCACAGATGTGATCATAACAGATTTCCGTTACAAGATCCTGAATAAACAGGGCAGAGCAGTCCTACAAGCCCTTTTGAACATTTCGGAAGGAAAACCATACCATCATCTGGAAGTCGACACCCTGTCGTACGAGTTCCTTCACCAGGAGAGCGGAATGAATGAAGTTCACATTGTCTGTAAAACAAGGCATGAAAAAAAAACAAAACACCAGTTATCATGGCAGTGTCTTCAAACACCTTGCAGATTAACTGAATGCCTCAAATTGTTGTCAATGTACAGAAATATCTATTAAGCTCAATTATGAAAGGTTGATTACAGACCAATTCTATAACTTGCAGTCTTTACTGACGCTAAGAACTTTTCAAATGATAGTACATGACAAACTCAAAAGGTTTCGGTATTGACAAGCGCGCACTTGACCTGCACTCAAAATTATCAACAAATTACCCGGCCTGCGAATTCTCGTTCTCACCCTTGCGTTAACAGATCAGCTCAATAATCCAAGAAACCTCTTTTAAACAAAGTTTTAACAGCCGAAAACGTTCTGCGTACAAATTTCATAAGCCATTGCCTTAAGAAATCCTTTGTAATGCCGTCCAAATTCTCAAACATGTCACATCAGCGTCTGGTCCCGATAGGTTGAAGATCGAAGCAGTTATGCAGGAGGCATGATCTCTGGAATAAGAGCTTTGCTTGCCTGACGTTTTGGATTCTTGCTCGAATCCGTCACCAGAGACAAAAGCAGGTACGGGTGGTTCATGCGCCAGTGGCTGCAGTATTTGTAGGATGCAGTCGCTATGCTACCGCATCCCTATGAATACTCACGGCTCCCCCCTCCATCAGGGATCGTGGCACTTGGTGGGATGACTGTTTGATGGCCGACATTCGCGTCTTTAATTGCTGCAATTTCCTCACGCGCGTTGGATGTTGGTGTGATGATTGCTCGCCATCTGATCCACCGACCCTGGGGTTGGGAAAAGTGTCCACCCGTTCGTTTCCCGCGTGACTAATTACTCCGCCTATGCGAAGTCTCAACACTGAGTATGGAATGGGAAGCTCATTGCGCTTGTCAATGGACTGGGGGTCAGTGAACCATGGCTCAATCAGCTCCCGGCTTATGTGGTTGTCACCTCTAGCGAGAATGTTGGCCTCGTCGAATTCGAATGTGGCCGGATTTTGCGAATGAGCCGCAACTTGAGAGCTGGCGTCATTCCTCCGCACCGCTGCAGTGCGTTCGGCCATTCGCGTTCGGAGTTGTCTTCCGGTTTCTCCGACGTAGTTGCTTTGACCGCAACTGCACTAGACCAGATAAACGACTCCAGAAGTTTCATGTCGTGACAGCGCGTCTTTTAGTTTCATTACCTGATGCCTGATGATTGCCTCTGGTCTGTGTGCAGTTAACCCAACACATCATTCAGACCTATAAGCAGTTGAATCATCAGTTCAACCATTAGCGGATTGATCAGACTCTCTTGCGGGCGGAACTTTTCCACGCGCTGAAATCTTGTTAATTGCAATGTAACCGAATTCTCGTACTGTAATGTGGCATCCATCCGGACGTTATCAGAGAAAAGTCGCAATTTGACAGTTACCGAGGACGGAACAGGCATTCCTAGTGGGAAAAACATTACGATATTTAAAGCCAACACGTTCTAAAATATATGGGGAGGAGTGTGTTAAGTCGATGATGATGATGGCGGCGTCGGCGGCGGCGGTGGTGGTGATGGTGGTGGTCAGGCTAATAGTGGTGCTGGTCGTGGTGGGAAATCGGACCAACTATTACACCCACAGCTCCAGTTAATATTGATGAGAGAGTTAAACCACTGCAGCACGCCTACCATCGGCCATGCCATGTACGATGAGGAAGTCTTTAGACCGGAAGTTTGCGGCCAGCCGTGAAACCCGGGTACGCTGGAAGGAAATAAAAAGAGAATAAGATTTAATTTATTAAACGGTTTACACACAACGGCAATTTTTTCAGTGAGTACGTTTACAAAGATTGATTTAAAGACGACAAAAAGAGGTTCACAAGACGGGCAACATACCATATACTCGTGGCTATTTTCGGTGAATAGCCCGAGAAATTTCTCTGTGTATGCCGAATCTGAAAAAATCAATATGCACGTTGAGCGAAAGGAAAGTTATCTTAGCGGATCTGATTGCAGACGCCTAGGTCTTTGACATGAGTTCATGGTAGAGACACTGTGGATCTGATAGACTACACATGAATGCCCACACAAACGGCTAAATGTCCAAATAAATTACCCCGGGTTCTCAGATTCAAACCCGTTCTGACATTTGCTGCAGTTCTTGAAATACTAACTCAGTGGGCACAGACCGGTCACAAAATCCCTGTTTCCAGAGTACGCAGAATTTCGCGTCAACAGAGCTGCTTCCCAAAGACGAGATACAGTGAATAACCGATCCCATGAAATGTTAGCTGAAATTATGAAATGCGTATTCGACTAAGAAAGATTATTTAGGCGCGGTTGCAATACTAATTATCTTGCGACTTAATCCTATAAGATTTCGGACTCTGCAGGTTGTCAGTTTTTGAATGCACTGCGTTTTTGTCTCCTGTAGAAACCGAAATCGGCAAGAAAATGGCTACTTGTATAGCGTGCATTTTTCACATTGATTTTTGATGCACCTGCAAATCTAAATATATTTCATAGAAACCCCTAACAAAATATGTTTTCTTTCATTCGTTCGGTGGAAAATCAAGTGATATTTATAGTTAACACTCGAAGACGAAGTATAATTATGTTTAAAGTTTTCTAATTCCCGAATAATTTAGAGCTTGATCGGCCGTCGCATTATAGCTAGGTGCTTTCAGTCTACAAGGTGCATGCATTTCGCGTAAAGAAAATCAAATATTCTTCTATGCCTTACAAAGATACCATATAGAGTCCATAACAGTTTGCAATGGATGTGGACCATGTTGTACATTTCATGTGGAGCAGTGGTAAATGAACTAGTACAATGCTGTGTGAATGGTCATTGGACGGTCTTAAAAAATTAAATAATTTGAAACTTTTTAAAACCTTACTATACCCCTCCTTCGAGCATAAAATACAACGATGATGTGATTTTCTGAAAGACTGAAAGAAAGCATATTTTTTCGTGGTTTCTATGACTTATATTTGAATTTGTAAGACCATCAAAAATCAATGTGAAAAATGCATGCTACTCAAATAGTCATTTTCTTGTCAACTTCGGTTTCTTAAGGAGACGAAAAAACAGTGCATCCAAAAGCTGATATCCTGCCGAGTCCGAAATATTATAGGATTATGTTGCAAGATAAGTAATGTAAGCGTGCCTGAATAATCCTTCTCAAGCAAAAACGCATTTCATAATTTCAGCCAACATTTCATGAGATCGGTAACTCACTGTGCTAGAGAAGTAGACAGAGGCAAGGACTTGGGGAAAAATAGGGTGCTGAATGGAAGGAGAGGGCAAAAAAGGGATTTGCCTACCATACAATCTAAAGTCGGTCACCGGAGCGACCGCGACCCCGCAGTTGAGGAAAGAATTTTCGGGATGTCCAAGCAGGTTTGCAACGGTAAACCCTCCGTAGGACTACAGAAGGTAAACAAGGAACATGCAACCAGAATGACATTGTAGTGCATCGTTCATTAAAAGAAAACAATCTCCTCTATGGAGTTTTTAGCTCGTTATTTCCAAGGCACGGAGAAGGTAAACTTGAGTATTTAAATAGCGCATCCTCTTTTGCAGTGAAAATCGGCTGGACCTTTGCAATCACACTGTGGTTCTTATGGGCTCGAACAATTACGAGAATTCAAAAATGAGCCAGAATAACGTACACCAGCGTACCCGAACTGCGATTGCAGACATTGCATTATAGTGAAAGACCCGAAAAGACAGGCTTTGTTTAGAAGGGACAGAAAAACGGGCAGCGGGAAAAAGAGGCGGACGTTTAGTATCGTGGATTGAGTGTGCGTCTTCCCTTTTGGCGTTTTCAGATGAGGACAGAGGGATAAGTCCGGATACCGTCCAGGAACCTGTGGATATCGTGCCACCTAAACCATCTCCAAGCGTTTTCCCCCTCTCGTCTGTCCCACAAGACTTACCCGCACCTCTGACGCTTCTTGTTCCCCATTTCTATATCCTCATCTTCTCACCATTATACCGTTTACGCTTTGGACTTTCTTTGTTTACATGGATAATTCCTGTAGGTTGAGATATCGTTTGTCCGCATGATGGCAAGACTAACCGTTCTGGAAAGAGAAAAGGAACTCTACCTTCACCCTATTCCATCAAATCGGCAGACGTTAGTCTTGAACTAGTTCCTCAGCCGGATCATCTGGATGTTCCGCCTACTATAATGGTGTTTTTGACAGGCAGGTCCAGGTGATCGCAGAGATTTGACCAATCAATAATCACGAAATCTTACCGACGGCAGGATGCGATACTGAAGTGGACTTTCCTTGATCTTTTGTCTTCGTCAAACCGACAATTTCGTAAAACCTGACTTTGTAAGACACATGCGTCAGCTTATCCTTGAACAGTTAAGTTGAGCTATTAACTCTCCTTCGATACGCCATGACATCAGCCATCTCAACAGCATCTGCAGTAATATGGCGCGCCTCTGCCGACAATGACACTCCCAAACAGAGGACCAACACACAAAACGTACAACGAACTTCGAATATGAACTTAAGGATACAATTTTCAGAATTGTAAAGTTTCGAAAATTCCCATAGCAGTAATCAGAATACGAGGTGGCGAGCATACGTAGTTTTCGACAAATTCTCGTCGGGCCAGCACAGTTATGTGGGAACGGAGTAGACGAAAAACATGTCGGTGATAAGAGAAATCGATAAAAGCTCTCTTTAAAAGACAGGCGGGGTGTGGGAATGTGGGGGAGGGGGGGGGGGGGGGGGGGTAATAGCAGTCAGTGTCAGGGGCGGGGTGAAAGCGGAAGGGCGCGGAGAGTTGCAGCGTTAGTCGACGTTCGACCAATCTAGACGCGGAGCCTGAACGCGGTTCTTCTGTGCGCATAAGATTGGCTTTCGGAACCTGATGGCGATCGCTTCTACTGTCGCTAACAGGCATCGGCCTAGGACCTTAGGTTAGCTCGATGGGACCTTATAAATCACACGAAAAGCTTCTTTGGGATCCACACAATGGCCTGAATCGACAACATGCGCGAGAATGGCGCGGCTTATCCACATCGTTTCGCCTTTTCCCAGAAATGCCGGGAGATGTTCCCGTATTCTCTAGGGTAAGCGCCGACTCGTGTAATTTAGTTTGTCCAGGGAGTCGACTGCTTTTACGCAATCCAACTAGTGACAGTGGGCATTATTATTTTAAAAAGTTCAGCTGTTAAAAAGGGCTACCTGACGGCATTTTGCGGAAAATAGTCTCTTAGTCCAGTAATCTAACATCGTTGGACACACAGGAAAGGCAACAAAGAAACAAAGTAGAGCAATTCAAATGACAGGTATTAAAGTTGTGCAAAGACGAACCCATCCAAAACTGCAGAGTTTTGTCTTGTTTATGTATTTGTGGGTGCTGACGATTTGCCTATGAAAGTAGAGTAAAAAAGGATTAATCGGGTATAAGTCCCTGCTAAACTAACTGTCTGATGTATTCACTTAGACGTTTAAGAAGTAACAAGCTGAGGTGTTAAGAAGACTTAGGATCTCGGGTCAGACATTCTCTTTACTACTTTCTTTTCACTTATCTAAACTGCACTCTTTTAAAGCGCCGTTTGCAACATGGTGCGGTCAAACAGAGCGGAAACAAAATCGCACCTCAAGCCATCGAGCTGGTCTCGCACCTCAACCGTACCAAAGTTCTTGAAGATTTCTGCCTCAAATCGCTTTCCTCGGCTGCCGGTCCCACGACCATCAATTGACACGATCACAAACTTCAAGGTCGCACACAGGTAGGTGTACCAATCGATTGTTAACTTTTTGGTTACCATCTGCGACACCGGACCACCGTACCTGAAAAGAAAATGTAATTTCTATTGAACCATTGCATGCAGGCAGGCAGTCAGCATTTGCAGACGATGAAAACTGTTAAACGTACGTGACGAGGAGGAGGGGATAGGTGACGATATGCGTCTCCACCAGTTCCGGCGGATGCATGAATTTAACCTCGAGAGTGAGTTCCTCCTTTGTTCCGCGCCGGATGGTTACCTGTTCAAACTTTGTCACGGGCATCGCGCGTTTGGCATATGCCTCCTTCAGGATCGAATTGTTTGAAATGAGAGCGACGGTTTCGAGGTATACAGCTTGACCTAGGGGAAAGTCAGTTGACAATGATCGCACTTCTGGTATCAACTTCAAATAAAATAGCCTGCGGAAGCATCTTCAAGCAAAGCTAACCGGCCATAATATAGTTTAAATGAGGACAGGCCTGCAGTTATCATCTCAGCTCTGCTGAAGTGTCAACTTGGCTAGAATTTAAACTCCGAAAGTACACTGATCTCATTCAATGGAGTGTTCCATGGTGGCTGTAATCGAGTAAAGCATGCCCTATCACAGAACATACTATTTTCATGTGTTGAATCACCGGATGTCAACGTATAGGTAGGCCAGGCCGCAAAATTAAGACAGTCTGTAGTGGGCAGCCATCATGACCGGTCTGGCGTCACTGTTCAAGACCTCGCTGCCTCAAGGCCATTCACCCTTTGCAGTGAACCGTTTCAGACGCGCTGACCGGAAGTCACACGACCGACAAATCGGGTATACCAGCGTCCGCACTGCCGCAACTGCTCATACGGCCACTTGAACGCACCTCCCCCTGCAACCACAGCCTAAGCCACTGGGACACCACCCCTCGGCAAATGCAGCACAGCACTTGAGCTTGGCCCACGAGCCTACAAAAACGGCTGCCGCCACTGTCGCAAGGACACTGAGGCATGACTGACACAGTCAACACCAGTCCTGGCTTCGCCAGTGGCCACTGCCGCCTGAGAGGACAACTCTGGGTTTTGTGTACAATAAACTCTTCATTCTGGTGCCTTCCGTCTTCTCCCTTCCAACACTAGGTTTTGCCCTGATTATTGTAGCGCTCAGACTGCACACATTCTCACCGCATAACCACCACAAGTCGTAAACGACAACGGCCACCGTGTGCCACACGAGTTGACGCAGAACAGCGGCCTGCACGGGAATTAGTTTAAGTGAAGCCAGCCACTCTCCGAGCTGGCGATGCCTGGACTTGATTCTGTGCCTACCTAACCATCTGACTAAACACCCCGAAGACAGTCCCCAACCATTGCGAGCAATGACGTCCACTGTGTGTCCCATGGGGTGGGCCTATGATTGGGCATGAATGCGACCTGCGCAGCGTCTATCTCACCTCTCATACACCTCCTTCCGATGACAAGACACTGCCAAGACGACTGGAGGTGAATTGGGACGCACTGGTTGACAAACCCAGGCAGCTCATCTACGCGGGCCAAAAATGGCGAATTGGTCCCCATTATATGAACCGGATCCAGTCTCACACCTTCTCTGACGATATAGAACCAATGGACCAGAAGACAACGTTTTAGTTGCAGTAGACATGAACTTGCAACGTACAGGGAAGATCTATGTACAATGCATAGTCGACTCGATTCCTCAGATATCTGTTGTCTTTCCTACAAATGTGCAACTCCGTCACACTGACGCACATATGTTTTTTAGAATTACCAGAGAACTAGAGCGTTGAGTAGAGACAACCAACTATACAGGCAAAGCTTGATGAGAGTACGGAAAAAAATTGAGAAGTTCCATTCATTTACAGGACATCTGGTAAACATTTGCGCTTGCTTAACCTTCGTCAAAAGATCTGACCATCCAAACGAGACATTGACGGCTAAGTTTAGAAAAACTGCTGGCTAAAGTGATGCTGAGCATTCAGATCGAGAGGACCGAAAAACGTACCTTCAGTGGGGGATTTTGAGCGTCGAATACGTTTGAGCTCAGTGGTTGGGACGTCAAGACCCTGACACTCATGCAGAACTAACTGGCCGTCTTCAGAGACCCTGGCGCTACTAAAGCTGCATTTAGGATCATCACATGTGAGGCAGATGGCTGATGTGCTGTTTACTGACCTTTGGGAGAAAAAGCCGACAAAATCAGAGATTAAAATAAACGCCTACTTAAATGTCCAAGTAGACAGGTATGTAACGATTGGTCCACAAGGAGGCAAACTTCCAGGGGAGGGTACTCACATGAAAAGATGCATCTCCTTAGGATCTGGTCCACTAGATAGATACAAGACCTCCCCATCACCGTAAGAATAGAGTATGTCTTTCACATCGTAGTCTGGAATGTGTACCCATTGTGGATACTGAGGAAGGGTGACCCTGGATTCGTTCTGAAAGTCGGGAAAGCCCATGATAACAGAATAGCATCTAGCAAACTGAATGCAAGTTTCAAAGAAGGTTTTGGAAAGCAATCGTAATGAAAGAAAGTGAGCGCACCTCAACACAATTGATTCAATAACTTTGCCCCAACTTGAATGCACCAGAAGCAGCTTTACACATTTAATACAGAGCAGGATCACCGCAGTACATCCAGAAAGTGCCCTCTGTCAGTAATTAAAGTGCCAAGAACTAAAACTGCATAGACGTAACCAGTTAGCTGGGAAGGATACCGCTCTTCCGACTATTTTCGCAGCCCATACAAGGGCTTATTGAATGGGACGATGCGTTAATGCCAGTTAGTCGCTAGAGTACTTACAATGTCAAAGGAGACAGGAATGGCCATCCCGATCTCCTGCGAATGCCTGCGAGGACACCTATCTGAACCCCGAGATGCAATAAGACGAGTATGTACTTCCAGTAAAAAGTGAACATTGCTCGCGGATGTTGGTAATTAGACTAGGGGGATGCAAGCAAACGGAAGGCGGAGATATGAAAAACACAGGACGGCTATTTTCAGCTAACAGTTCTTACCAAAAACAAGCGAGCTATACCACGGTAGACTGGTTTGCTGTAGTAGTTCGGAGCAACAATGAGAAGGGACTGTCCGCCATCCTCAATCACGGGCATGTTCAAAGGTTGAATTGGCTGAGTGAAAAAAGCATAAACTTGAAACGCGCTTAAAAGTGAAACGAAGAAACAACTCAGCAGTACGATGGCCGGCGCATATTATGAAAAGCAGACCGAAATTCGGAAACGGAATTTCGATAAGGAGCACTTAGGCGGGGTTGTAATATTAGTTGTCGAGCGACATAATCGCAAGATATTACGGCCATGCCAGAGTGTCATCTTTTGAACAAGATTTTTTCCCGCCACTTGCAAAGCCTAGGCACAGTAAAGAGTGACTTCTTATTCGGTACGAGTGTTTCACACGGATTTTCGATGTCCGTATATGTTCAAATATATCTTACAGAAAAAGTATGCAGAAATATTTTTCAATTACTCTATATTATACCCAGTTGGTAGAAATCAACATCTTCGAAATTCAAGGCTTGAGACTTTTTAAGAACATTGAATCTGTTCACATATTATTTTATTTTTATCAATTAGAAACTCCCATGACCTCTTTCTGCCACTTTTCAAGGAGATAAAAGAAAGTACACAGCGTGTGGTTTGGAAAGCCCAGGCTAAATCGCAACGATCGTTCTGTTCCAAAATTATTTGAGAACTAAAAAGATTCTTTGAAATCCAAAGATACACCTTACCCAAGTATAAGATTTAAAGGAAAGGTTATTCATTACCAGACAAGTCCATTAAAGAAACGTTTGTTCATTTTCTCCATAAAGAACGTCAAAAATCGACAACTTAAATGACCATTTTTGGGGAGTGTAAGTTTTGCAAGTGACCGAAAATAAGCTCATTCAGAAGCCACCCATAATCTTTATACTAACCTTGCATAAGTAACCCTTTCTAATATTAAAAACATTACATGAAATGGGGCAGCCACTGTAAATACAGGTTCCGGAATTGGGCTTACCATGTTGGTCCACCCGAACTGAACCTTTTCAGCGTAGACCTGAAATTACAAAAGTCAAGTGACATTCTGAGGCGTTGCAAATGAAACGTTCGGCAGAACAGTCAAAACCAGGAAGATATTGACAGAAAAACGTTGACACAGTAACCAGCACTGGAAGGAATTATCATAAAGTACCCGACAACTGACAAAAATCAGCTGACTTGCTCACCAAACGCATACTCCTCGATGTGCAGTCTCCCACCACAATCCAAGACTCAGACCACTCTCGATTAACCCAACCCGTCACAAAGCTGTCTGCATTGATCCAGTGAAAGTAGCATAGGTAGGATTCCCTGGAGGGAGAAAACACAAAAGCTGATAATAAGGGAGGATGCGAAGCAGTGCAATCCCGAAAGAGTAAGGACAAATAGAAATCTCAAAGACCAATAGGCAGTAATGAAATTCAACCTGAAGGCGTCTATTCAAGTTAACTTCTCGAGAATATCTGTCACCGGTTGAAACGAGAGCTGCCCTCAACGCTCCGCTCATTCAGTCTGATCAGACGCCCTGCATTCTGGTAGCGTGTCAAATGCTCGTGATCTCAAGCGAGTACGCGCGTGCAACAGAATTTGGACAGATTGGCGGCTGCATGCGAAAATCTCCCGTTGGAGGACTCATGACAGTTCGGTCGTCGTGATCGGCGATACCAATCGTGGGCTCTGCAGGAGCGTGAGAGCAGGGACCGGGCTTGCGCGAGAATTGGCTTATAGTGGCAGTGGGCTTGCGTGGGATCTAACGTACTCTCTGCTACCTAACCTGGACCCGGTGTAAAACGGCCGGAGGCTGACACGGCGGAGACCAGGATTCTATATCACAAGAAAAATAGGGGGACGTCTCCTATCCCTCTTGTTGGGGCCTGCTTCCACATCCCCGTTTTTAGCATTTGATATGGGTGTGCATTCCCGGGGATGTCTGCTGGAACACGATCTAGCCCCGGTGTTTGTCCAGGGTATCTGTTGTATGGCCCGTTTTAATGACGCGGGAGGACTTATGCTACTGAAATAAAAATCTATTAATAAGGGGCCTTATGCTGAACACGAACGCCAACACGCATCCGCCCAAGAAATTACCCGCGACTGCGTCTGGTACCAGTTCAAAGTGGAACCGCACCTCAGTGCTATCTTTCACATGAATCCCTGAGCGACAACATGTGTCGATGTTTCATGGCTGATAGCGTATACGCCAACTGGCTGGCGTACTTCAGGAAATGATAAGCTAGACTCTGAAACTTATTTTCAGTCAAAAATTATTACCTAGGTTGGCTTGTACTATTAATTGTTTGGCCGAATAAGTCGAAGATATTTACACCATATCACAGTGTATGGAAAACCACACATTTGTCGACGTTATTAACAATGCCATATAGGGCTCATGGAATATTGGGATGGACATAAACTACTCTTTAGAAGCAGCATTAATGAACGTGGGGATGCATGGTTGTACGGATGGAAATTTCGTTTCAAACCGAAAGACATCCTTTCTTCAAGTGGTGATATTTGAAGAGAATGTTATGCGTTATCGGAGTATGTGATGACACATCTACAATTGGTAGGCTAACCCATGAAATGTCAACCAATATTCCGAAATGCGTTTTCGTTTCAAAAAGGTTATTTAAGTAGGCCTGTAAAACAGATCATCTTGCAGCGTCATTCTATAATACTTCGGTTATCACAAGATGTCAGCTATCGAAATAACTTCTTTCCGGCTTCATGCACAAACTACACTCTGTAAAGTATGACTGCTTATGTAGCATGCACTTTTCTCCTTAACCTCGATGCCTTTAAAAATTCAATTATATTTCATAGAAAACATGCATAAAAATATTCAGTCTTCTGCTTATTCGGTAGGAAATCACGCCTCCTTTCACGAATATACACGAAGGAAAAGCATAAATGGGTTTTTAAAAAGTTTCTAAATGTATGATTTTTTAATTGTGTGAAATAGCCATTCATAAAACGTCATCTTTGTACGTTTACGAATGTGCCTTGTAAGGTTAGCAATATGGCTTAAATCCACTGCCACATTTTATGAACCCCATATGGTCTCCTCTTAATACCGTAGAGAAATGTATGGTTTTGCGTACGCAGAAAATACGCGGCCTGTAGTTTGCAAACCCTGTATGCAAGGGTAACGGCAGATTAGGTTTAAAATTATTGTGGAGTTAGAAAAGTTTTTAAAATCTAATTATACTCTCCCTTCGGGTATGGAAGTGAAAGGATGCGTAATTTCCCACTGAATATTTTTATGCGTGTTTTCTATGAAATATAATTAAATTTTTAAGGGCATTGAAATTAATGAGAAACGTGCATGCTACATAAGCAGTCATTTTGTACAGAATGCAGTTTCGGCATGAAGCCGGAAAGAAGTTATTTCGATAGCTGGCATCCTGGGGTAACCGAATTATTATAGAATGACACTGCACAATGATCTGTTTTACAAGCCTACTTAAATAATCCTTTTGAAACGAAAACGCATTTCGGTATTTTGGTTAACATTTCATGAGTTAGCCCACCTACTGTACGTGCGGGTTTACTCCCTCCCAGCCACCTGAGCCTGGCCCCGTCTCCGGTCTTCTTGGTTCTGTCCTGACAACAGCCGCGGCGGGAGAGGAGGAGAGCATGGTGGATGTTGCTCGAGGCTACTATTATTATAAACTAATTCACGCTCAAGTCACCGTCCTGCGCCTTGAAGGTTAATGTGCTACCCAGTGAGTGCAAATAGAATATTTTTGCATATGTTTCCCATAAAATATATTTTGTTATATAGATGCATCGAAAATCCATGAGAAAAAGTAATATTGCGATATGTGGTGTTTGCAGATAGAAGAAAAAACTCATTCAGAAGCTATGCGAACGTAGTTTAATACTGCTACTGTAGTTGCAGTTTCTTTCGCTACCGTTGGTAGCAAATCATGGCGGGCATAAAGAACTATCAAAGAACACCAATCACACATTGCTGAATATTCAAAATAGCAGTCGCCAAAGTACGAGTCGTTAACCCAGTCGTAGCATTTGTTCAGGAATCCGGGGTCTGTGCTGCCGATCCGGCCACTTGGAAATGACATTTCCAGTTTCCACTTGATATACTCGGTACTAATTGAAAATCGCATTAAAGAAGCCTAGGCCTGGTAAATAGACTCTAACCAAGCAAAGTATTTATCCAGAAATATCCCCGATGCACTGACATTTTATTGCGCTAGATAATTTGCACTCCAGTGCATTCTTTAAAGACTGTACTTGTGAACCCTGACGTAGGCTGCTGCCGAATGCATTCGGAGGAAAAGACGAAAATCTGGGCATGTATACTTTCTAACGTTTAAAAGGACATATTTTGTTTATAACTTACTGGGGTATTTCTGGGGGTCTTCGAAACTCAACGGTCTCACGCGTTGACAGGAAATGCACGTACACAGTGACGATAGGAATGCCATAGTGAGGACCCTCGCCGGCCTAAAACGCATCAAAGTGAGTTGAGAGTGAGCGAAATTACAGTAGATGTGCTATTTCATGAAATTTTGACTGAATTCCTGAAATGCGTTTCCAATGAAAAGACTACTTAAGTGGGGTTCTCATACTACTTATTGTGCAGCAGGATCCTAAGATATTTCAGGCTTTTGAGCGGTCCTCTTCCCGGCCGCCTGCTTAAAGGACACTTCGTTAAAAATGACTACATGGTATTAATTTTCCCCATTTGGTTTTTGAAGCCCTTCTAAATTCAAAGATATTTAATAGAGAACATAGACGAAGGTATTTTGCCTTACATTTATATGGTGTCGAAAATCGTCCTCATTCAATTTTGTACTTAAAGAAAGAGTATCTTTCAGCTTAAAAAATCTTTTGGCTATGAATTTTCTTTTAAGCCCTAAACGACAACTTCACACTAGCATACATAACAGTGTGGCTTTCCTTACATGGAAAGTATGCACAGTAGATGTGCTCACTCATTAAATGTTAACCGAAATTTTCAGATGCGTTTTACACTTGGAAAGATAAAGAAAGCAAGGTTGTAATAATCACCATGCTACATAACCCTATAACGATTAAGTTACTACAGGATGCCTGCCTTTGAAGGAACTTCTTTTCGGCCGCAGGCGAAAGCTTTCCTCTAGTAAAAGTGGCTATTTAGATAGCACACTATGTTCTCATTGATTTTTAATTGCGTTTTCTTCAAAATTTTTTATTTAATGAAAAGTATAATTCAGGTTTAAAATGTTGTGATTATGAGATTTTTAAGAGCACCAAATGCCTGTTCATAAACACCGTGTCTCTGTATTTAAAAGCGTTGCTTTTAAAGTCAACGATATTGTTAAAATTCACTGCCAACTTCTATGAATCCCATATGACCTTGTTTTAATACCGTGGAGGCATGCGTGAGTGTCCGTACACGGACAATATACAACTTGCAGTTTGAATACCCTTAATGCGAATATAACGGCAGGTCCTGTTCAAATTTATTCGGCAATAAGAAAAGTTTTCAACACGTATTAATACACTGCTCTCAAAAATAATATTTGATGACGCGATTTTCCACCAAGTAATCAAAGGAATAAATATTTAATGCATGCTTTCTGTGAAATATAATTGAATTTATAAGGGCACCAAGAGTAATTTAGAAAGTTTTGCACTATATAATTAGCGATTTTTTACAGAGCGCAGTTTTTTGCAGGTGGCGGTAAATACGTTCGTTCGAAAGTCGGCCTCCTGTAGTAACAGATTTATTATGAGATAATGTTGAATGGTGACTAATATTAGAACCATGCCTAAGCAATCCCTTATAATCAAAAAACATTGCAGAATTTTAGCAAACATTTCGTGAGTTGGCACATCTACTGTAGACTGTAGTTTGGAAGTCTTGAAAGCAAGTGTAATAACGTGTGAGGCAAAATATTAATTGGGAACTTAAAACGTCTTTTTAAGGCTAAAAAACATCGTTTGTCAAGTATAAAATTTGAAAGGGGCGTAATTTTCCACCATATGATTTTAAACCATTACATGTTGGTCTATGTTCTCCATAAAATATATTGGAATTTACAAAGACACCAAAATCAATGGGTAAAATTCATACACATCAAGTAGTCGTTTTTAACAGAGGGTTGCCCATGCAGGTGGATGGAAAGAAGTTAACTTAAAAGCCGGCATCTTGACGTGACTGAGGTATTTTGGGACTATGTTTCACTGTTACTAATCTCACAGTCACACTTAAGTAAATGTTTAAAATTGGAAACATATTTTTGAATTTCATAGTCAACATTTCACGAAATAGTACATCTAATGTACCTCCTCTTCCGCATCAAAGAGAGAACGGCGCACTTATGTTAATTGCTATTTGGGTACATTTATGACCTTACTCCAATATTGTCCTTTGTATTTGTTCGACGTGTGCAAATGCACATCTGTATAAATGACTGAAGTACTCCAAAAATTGTCGCAATTGGCAAATTGCTTTGGTACACTCCAATAAAGCAGAAGGTACGCGTAATATGCTCGGCATGGCCATTGTTTGAGCTCAAAAAGGGCAATAAATGAAAAGCGCTCATCGCCTCATAGAGCAAGATGAGTTTAATGTGAGATTATTCCATGTGCTAAAGCATAAAATAAACTCATACTGCTTCGACACTCCGAGCACAAAGCTTTTTAACAAATTAAATACCTGTAGTTCATCAATATATCCGGCCCTGCTCACATGGCGATGGCGAATAATTAGCTACTCTACGTTTATTTATGCTTATAGTGCTTATCGAGTGCTTTGAATCGTTTAGGTTAACGAACGACTTACTAAAAACAAGTTATGTTGCAAAATTCTGCGTCTAAATGGGAATGGGAAACTGTCGTTATTTAAAAACGGTCACATTACCCTCTGAGTGACTTCATCTTGGGTGAGGAGGGAAGACTGGTCTACCACGGCCCAAAAGCACCATGCGTCATGAAAATTAAGGACTGACTGAACCTAAGGGAGAAGTCAAGGGCAATTTACCGGATCCCTTGACTCAACCTCCCTTGTAATTGCTTTTTTTAGACTGAACGCCTGCCTGGATCGCGCACTCAGGAAAACAAACTCACTACACGACGGACAGACGAGTAATCACAAGTGGCTGCCTACACCTTAAAAATAGATAACGAGATGAACTTCTCCTTTACCAAAATAACTGTGTATACCAAACAAGCTGAGAACGGATTAAAGCTTGCGGCTTGGATGAGAACTTAGTCAATTGACCCGCTACCGGCATACAGTGTACTGCGCAGCTACTTCCAGACATGCGTTACAGGTCGCTGACTGAGAAATGACCCTCAGAGCTGTCATTTATTTTATGTTTTCTGTAATATCCTAGGATACACTTCCACAAGCGTTCAAAGCTCGAAAAAATCAAAAAATATTTCCAGTGCTCGGCCAGTCTCCTTCCCTACTCACACAAATGAAAGTCAAACATTCGCCTCCGTTCGTGACTTTATCTTTCACATTTCGGGACATAGGGCAAAAGTCCGAAAAAAATATGCGCTGCGGATACTGCAAATACTTGAGGCAACTGATCGTGCTAAGTGTTTGCCACAAATAACCCCCCGTTTCAGATGACGGCATAAATAGTTGGAGTTTGTAAGTCTTAGAAGCAAAACGTCCTCAGTTTGCATAGGCCGTTGTCTACGGCGGACTATCGTGTGCGCATTTGGCGCTTCCGCATAGCCCGCGGATCGAAACCTCTGGTCTCTACACTCCTCACATTCGTCATTAATTTACCGTTAGTGCCAAATAAATTCCCTCCAGCTATGAACTTTAATCATCCGATCGCCGAGGACTGCAATACGCTAAAAATCTGACTATTTTTATAATTGTTCTCGCCAGAGGGTAAAATACTGAGAACAGCTCTCTCACACTTGTCTCCTAGGTTGACTTGTCTTTAAAATGGACGTCGAGGCAACTTCGGATCCCCGCGTATCTGCTTCCATATTGATCTTGGTGAGTAAACAGGAGCAGAGGTAGTAGATGGACTTTCAAATTTCCGTATGGACGAAAAACCTCAGCCCCTCTTACCGAGTCCTATATTCTAACGCTGAAGAACAGATTTGGCAATTCCGGGCCTGCAGTCACTACTTAACCACATGCAAAAACATGGGAACTTTAGGATTTAGCGCTGGCAAATGCATGCGGCACCTATATAGCCCACTATATCAAATCATACAGTCAAAGTCATGAGCAGTCGCATGAAAATGGTTTGCATCGTCCACTAGAGAGAGGCGGGAGCGCCTACGTAACGACGGTGAATCGTTTATACAGCTACCCCAGCAGAAGCCATATTATAATGGCCGTTCCAGTTCTATGCGCGGGACATATGACATGATACAAATTCGTATTACAATAGCAATACTGACAGTTAGGGTAAAACAAAATATGTTTGAGTCCGAAGTTAAATCTTAAGTATAAGAATAAGCGGACATCAAGGAGGGATAATTTTTTTGGCGTGTTATCTCCAAAATCAATGGGCGAACACGAGAGAAAGCTGGAGATGTGCGTGATGCTCAAATGTACAGTTGTCATGAAAATTCATGTTTGAAGGTCGTAAAGTTGTAATCAGCAGACGTCATCGTAAATTAGGCAAGAATAAACGAGAAACTTAAATTTAAATTGCGAGGTATTTGTCTACAGTTTTGATGTAAAATGTCTACAGACTACTCCTGTTCGGCAGGAGGAAGACCATTAATTTTCAATGGGATCCCAACTTCTGCTTTTATGGCTATCCTATATTTTGTTCTTGGTAGCACGTAGGGAAGGAAAAGCCGGATTTTTGCAAAAACATCCGCGAAGTACACTGCGTTTGAGGTTGCTGTGGAGATTTTGCTACGGGCAGTATACATGGTGGCAGACTCATTCGGTTAACATGAACTATGGCCACCTCTCTGAAATCCATATTTAAACGGTTATTATTCACTTTTTGATGTTACTTCTGCAGTTACTTAGGGACCTCGGTATTGACAATTTCGACAGTATGTTTACCATGCTCATGTCCTTGAATTACAACGGTTCGAGCGACGTTCAGCTATTTTGAACGAAAATGCCATAGCAGAATGTACGCCCACATTAATTAGCGGCTGCGTGTGCGACAAAATCGCATAAAAGAAAATCATGGCAACTTTCTACGACAGCACAACGCGGATTCAGTGTTATTGATATGACCCAATGTTCAACTGTAATGAATCATGGTTATATGAACAGTATTCAGTACTCAAGGGATTCGGAACTCATTGGGAGATGCGGAGCTTAGAAGTGTGCGCACTAATATGGGATGATGTTATTGGTAGCTGTTTCTACTGGCGTCCGTCTTGCGAGCATTTCCGGACGGCATTCAAAAACGACGCTGAATTCCTGTTGTGGGTTGGTGTGTTCACGGTGTACACGCTGTCTACGTAATGAAAAAATCGGATTTTCGAGTGCATCCAATTGCGTTTGGCAAAAAACGCGAGTTTATATTACTCTCTCCTCCGAGTATAGTACGCGCTGATTCACAAACGTAGACTAGAATGGTTCTTGGCTTAGGAAACCGATAAACTACAAAGGAACGCAGATTTCTGCTCAAATTTGTGAGCAATTTAACCAACAAAATTTGTTAATAAGCATACGGGGCATGCAAAAGGTATTTTCAGGAAAACGTTCGGCGAATAAGTAAAATATACAGCATTTCGCTTGCTCACAACGCTGCTGCTACCTGAGCTACAACGTCCACTCCGGGAGACGTGAGTTTCATCACATTTGGTTCAAGTTACCCGCCCAACTTATTGAAAAGTACGGAACCCATCAATTCTGACAAAGCTGGCTGACTGTACAAACAGGACTTTCCTAAGCGATCAATCCAGAATCCACCAGATGACTACAAAGATCGCTAATGAATTAGCGCTTTTGACAGATTTGAATAGAGCACTTGACCCAGTTGCTGCCGTGGCTTCGAATCCCACCGAAGCCATCGTGACTTTCATAGATAGGCAAAATGAGTTATTCAAACACACCAAATACACTTATTGATGCAAATTATTTTTGCCTAGAAGATTTTAAGGATAATCGCCTGCTCAAACCTGCCGCATTGGTTTTTTTTCAGAGACACATGTGCCTACAAGCGGTGGAATCTTCCGCCTGCCCCCACAGAATGGCCACGCAACTGGCGATTAATACTTGAATTAGTTAACAGTGAGACCCACCTGCAAGTGGTGGACAACCTCACGCATCTGGGCAGTACACTCTCCCGTAGCACGAAACCCGACGACGAAGTATGTCGCCGGATTTCCAAGACCAGCCAGGCCTTCGGCCGTCTTCAAAGCACAAATTGGAATCTTCATGATCACCAGGCCAGCACAAAACTGAAGATATACAAGGCATCACCGCCGCCCAAAGGCAAACGCGAGACACACAAATCTCAACTGCCGCCGCCGCCGCCTTACAACGCCAACACCACTAACCGCTTCCAACGTGTCAGCGATGTCAACGGACATTCCGGACAGCATTCGGGCTTGTTGGACACCTTCGGACCAACTGCAGCACTCGGACAGCACCAAACGTTGTCCCTCTATCCAACTCTCCCTCGCCTCCCACACCGTCAACTAACGTTGACCGCCCTCCCCAAACACCACTACCATCCTCCTCTCCCTTCCCCACCACATCAAAGTCTGCCGCTGTGGCGTCTGCCATGTCCGTCAGCACAACATACAATTCTAACACAAAAACAAACAACAACGCTACCACCGTCAACACCAGTGACAAGGACCGGGTCTATACCTGTCCTCATTGCGATCGCTCTTTCAGCCCACACATCGACCTGGTCGGTCACTTGCGAATCCATCGCACAGCGACTTATGAACTAGTGCCCGAAGCACTAACCTACACTTGCCACATCTGCCTCCACTGTCCACATTGCACCCTGCACATTTATTCACCGCATGGGACTATTAGTTCACATACGCGTCCAAGTAAACTTGTGGCCGACAACCGCCGGATAAACCACACTATCACACCGCACATCAACATCACCCACCACAAGCACCCAAGTGCCAACTTCCACGCAACTGGGAAGTGTGCGTCTCGACTCCTTCTCCACGCGGCTCCCCTGCTGCATATGTGGTCGGAATCCGAGACGAAGACGGTGCGTCGAGCGCCGTGGCTCGGAAGGCAGCCGGTGCCGGTGCTTTTTAGCAAAACCTCCTCACTAGTCGATTCTTACCGAACATCACAGGTCGCGTTTCTATAGACCAAATAGCGTGAAATAATGTGGATGAAGAGTTCATCTCCGCGTAGAAAGCCTCACTATAGAATTCGTGCCTTACTGTACTCAGCAGTCAGATGTGGCCTCTGAATTAAAGCGACAAATTCCCAATGAGATTTGCGGTCTCACTTGACTGGCCAGCAAACAAGCACTGGTTGAAATGTGAATTCCCCAAAATCATGCTCACCAAGCAAAGCTGCTTCCACAAAACTTGTTTGCATGAGTTTCAAACAAAGTTTGCTGTAAACGTACAACTGTCACCCGAAAGGAGCCCTACTAAGAGAGTTCCCTTTTGTCTAAAGGGAAGAGGACCATAAAAATCACAAAAGTCCAACCAGGGTTTCATTCCCGACTGTTTCCGTTTCCTGGTCTTTGTGTATAAGTATGTTCTCGAACAAGGCATTCTCTCCGTAACTAAGGAAACAGTCGGAATCTTCGACTTCAAAAACTATTCAGACCTTTTTAATAATCTAAATTTAGCGAAGTTGTCGCGTCAAATTATAGTGTAAAGTACAAATCTTCCACAAAAATAAGAATCCATTCCAATCTTAAAATTTATCTTTGCTAAATGGCAGAATTTTTTCCCACTACATGCACTAATAGTTTTAAAGGGTGACAGATTTATTCTGCGTATTGTTGGAGTTACAAAGACTAAACAAATGCGTAAGGCATTTTTATATGAAGAGTTCAGCCGATCAAACTGTGAAAAACTCGGCAGACTCGGCGAGATTAAAGCCAACGACGGTAAGGGCCAAATTTCACTGAAGCTCACGGGTCCCTGTCAGAGTCTCCTAAAGCGTTGGCTGTCACACGTTAGAATCCCCCGAAGCCGCCAAGCTTTTCAAAACTGAGTCAGCTGAAATAAATAAGATTCACACACGATGTGCAGGTACTGTTCAATATCGCGCCCTAGGGAAGAGATTATGAGATAGTTTTCGTCTGCTGTGATTTATGGACGGATAGAAACATTAGTAGTAAAATATACACGTTTTTACGACGACGGACTGCAAATATTCAAAACGACGATGCAATGCGTCCGACACTAAAACATATACTTTCTTATGCCTTATATGGTTATTGACAGTCGGCAGTTTGCAAACCTATCTGCGCACTAGGGAAAAGGGGAAAACAACCTGGTTTGATTTGTTAAAGGCCATTTTGAAGTAGGAAAATGATTGGAGAAGATTCTTGTGTGTCAAGAAGTATGTCGATCACCGGCATTAATTCTGAAGGCGCGGGCACTTCGGCGACGAGGTCTGATTTTTTGGGCAAGTTTACGAGGCCAGTCAAGGGTGTTCTTTGGGAAAATAGCTTTCCACAAGATCAATGGGCCAACTACATGCATGGCCTTACTTACCTTCAATTCTGTGACATACAGTATAATCCCCCATGAATTTCTGGTTATCGCAAACGCCATTTATTGGCTGGTAAGCATTAGTTTACAAATCAAACTATGACTTCATTTTTCGCGAAAAGCTGTCCGTTTACTGCTATAAAACTTTGAGGGACGAGAGGTGGACGGCTTCTGCGTTACGGGATTTCCGAAGTACAAACTATACACTTCTTATGTAAGGAAACTTATATATTTCTCTACGCTATCAAGAAGATACAATGTAAGTTTCATTTGATTTTGCAATGCATTTGAACTACGTTGTCCAATTTAGGAACAGCATTAAAATAAGTGCCTATGTGTTGCTGTATGATTGGACATTTTGGAGTCGTATAAATCCCAATCTGGAACGTTTAAAACCGAAAGACACCCCTTATTCAATTATCGAATTCTCAAAAACATAACTTACTAACAAATGAGTTAAGGAACAAAGCTTTTGTGCCTATTTTTTCTAAAAAATTAAACTTACCAGGACAAAAAAGTGGACGAGAAAAAGGCACACTACTTAAATGGTCGTTTTTTATGCAAACAGCTGCAAAGAAGCTTGTTCGGAAGCCGGCATGCCGGCATGACTGAAATATTTTGAAATTACGCTGCGCGGTAATTGACAATTCAACGCTACTTAAGTAATCTTTTCGAATCAAAAGCACATTTCAGAATTTCGGATATAAGTTTCTGAGATAGAACATTCATGTGTATGGGCTGAACTGATAAACCGATAGCATACATCAACATCGATTCACTATGTTAAAACGGACGCTTTGTCAATGAAACTGCTCTCTGGTAAGTCAGTAGACTACCCAAATCAAAATGCAAAGCTTGTGAATGTGGTACTGACAGTCAAAAATAAACGGGCTTAATTGCCCCAAAATTACTCCTCGCGGATATCGGGGCGATTTGACGAAGCATGGCTGATCGCTGACATTTAATCGATTTTTTAATCCATGCTTGTGAGGCGGACAGCATCGCTGACCCCAGGGTACCGAGTAGGTGTAGGCGCCCCAAAGACAACGTGTAGTTGGACAACGGTATCAAAAACCGCGAGGCATTCTTTTTGCGCATAGCAGAAGTATGATAATTTCCACAAGCGTACATCGCAGGCGTCCGCAGGTAGCGACGCATCGTAGGCAACAATTTACAATTTTTGTGATAAATGATCGAACTGAAAAGGGCGAAATTTTTTGGCAGAGGACTTTCTGGATGTGCGCCCACTATTTCTGCAGCTTCTTCAGCTGAATGCCACCATATGCAGAATCTGGAGACCAAATCGTTACGAATCTGCATTATGCTTATAAGGAATGCCTTCCTTATGCTCCAAGCATATGTGATAAACAAAAGTCCAGAAGCGCAGTTCACTGAATTTCTGCCAAGACAACTGCGAGCATTCCTACTCATTGCTGGGTTTCTAAATTCCTCCGTAATTTATAGGAGATCTAATCAGCAAACAATCATTAGCAGTCTGGTTTCGCTGAAGGCTAAGTTTTTCAGTAGTTTTCTAGCCTCGCCAAAGGTATTTTAATTGTGCATAAACGGTTTGGTTATGCAACAACTGTGAGTATAGTTTGGAGTCACCAATACAAGACATTCTTTACTCGGAATGCAAATGGACGATGACAATTCAACCATCGTGATCGACGGGGTCAACCGTGTGCTCTACAGCATGGCGAGTGCAGATACGGTGACTTGTGTGACAAGGGATGACGGACTTGCGCAGCATTTACCGCACCCCCACAGCTGGATCTAGTGTTCTGGTGGAGTCAAGAAAACTGGAGGCGGGAGATGGCGCAGGTAGCTGGCACGGCGGAAACCCGCACTTAGGCGTACACCACACCCCCCTGGTCCACCGCATACACTGACTACGATTTTATACCAGAACACACGTAGGGAAAGGCAGCACAGTTTCCAAAAGGTGTGTTTTGGACCGGCAACTGGGCGAGCCATAACACTCCATTATTGACATTTGTTAAAGGTGCGCGTTCTCAACAATGCCTGCAGCATTCCAGTCGCCAAACTGTACGAGATGAAGTTCCTCAAAGAACTCTTCAGAGCCAACGGTTGTCCGCGAACATTCGTTGAAGGGGGTCGAAAGTAACCAAGGAAGCGGAATGAAGAACATAGTCAGCCAAAACCATGGCGGAACATTCCATACATGAAAGGGCTCTTCAAAGCCGTAGCCAGATCTCTCGCGTTACTCGGAATAGGCGTTTTCCACAGGCCCGACTCAACAATCCGCCGGCAAGTGATGTGGCCAAAAAAGCCGATCCCTAAGCAGGAGATGTCGGCTGTCGTTTACTGACTTCAGTGCAGCTGCGGAATGTGCAACTACGTTGGGGAAACTGGCCGACAGCTGCAAACGCGCATGCACGAGCATAAGTTAGCCGTGCGAAGTTTGAACCCAAAGTCGGAGGTAGTAACCCATGCCGCCTAAATGCGACACGTCTTCAACTTTAACGCCTTTGAAATTGTGGCCGATGCGATGATCATACGGCAAGGCAGGTGCAAGAAGCCTGGATGTCTACCGACTGTTCTGTCAACCGGCACATCAATTTGCCCCCCCCCCTTCCCCTATCTGTTTTTACGGACATTCTTGACGCGGAACAGTCACGGCGCGGGACAATCGGGGCCGTCAACTATCGCCGCGGCCGACGAAGATAAACGGGATTCAGGTTACGGCGACATGCGGGTCGCATGCAGCCACACAGGCGGCATTGGCGGGCCAGGCATCAACAAAGTGCGCCATATAAGGAAAGCTTTGTGCATGACTTCTCAGTCTCTGAAGATAGGTAGAAGGAACGACTACTCGAAATGTCAGGCCTCCAATACACCTCTCCCGGTGGACGTCTCCTTTTCTTTTAACTTGCTAAACTTCCAAGGTCAGATTCACAACTAGAACATGCCTGAATAATGTTATATAACATTACTCTGTCTACCTAGATTTATTGATACACGGACATATAAGTTAAAAAGTTCGGAATAGACGATATGATGCTGGTAAGGAATAGATATATGGGAAAGTGACTAGAATCGTCCCTTCGGATAAAGCTCAAGGTATTCACATTGAGCAAAATTCGAAGCTAATAAAATCAAGCATGATGCATTCATGCAAGCAAAAAAACTCGGAATTTGCCTATTGGGCAAAGATAGGTAAAGGACCCCCGACTAACTCGAGCTAGACTGTGGACTGTGTCATGCGTTGAAAGGTGGTAGACGGGGTTTTACGGGTGGGGGAACAGGCAGGACGGGGAGCAAGAAGACACAGAAAATAGGTAAATGCCTGCCGAAAGTCCTATCGTATGCTGTCATTCGGCAAAGAAATCGAACGCGGTATTAAAAAAATAAACAAAAACCAACTTTTAAAACATAACGAGCTTTGAATGGATCACCTCCGGTACGTTTACATTTAGTCAGGAAGGAGAGGAAATTCCAAACAATGGAGACGGTAAATAACAAGTTATGTTCACAGTTACACTGAATTTTAGGGCATATTTTTGGAGTTGCCATCTATTCGTGGATCTTGCACCCATTCGTTACCTGCTACTAAAAAACCAAATTTAATTGAGAAAAACAAAAACAATAATGACCGGTAACGTCCACGTCAAGCTTAATTTTCGAAGTTAACGCAGCCTATTTCCTCCCATTATACATTGCGCTTGCCCATAAATGCAATCACATTTTCAGTGAGCAAATATCGCGAAAACAAGCAAGCGATGACTTCTTCTAGTCAAATAATAAATACCCCGTGAAGTGTCTGGACGAGTTTATTTTTAGCACGACTTTTTGCGTAGTTTGGCCCGTCCTTCGCGTTTAAAATTAAAGCATCCCAGGGTTATCGGGTCATTTAAGAGTAGTCGAGGCATGTCCTTCTCTTTGTCCTGCTGTTTCCTTGCTGCAGGCCTTGACACTAGAAAAAAATTCTTATTTTCGTAAGGCTGCAATCAGTAAGCATCCGATGTCGGCAGGGGCGTTTTGTGTGGATCAATAATTGCGCAGACATTTGTCATTCGTCCTTCCTCTCTTCAAGCGCGCTTGCGTCTCGAGTTATCGTGTGCCGCTAGATAGGCTACAAAATTTGAATCAGGCAATGTCCGATCCGCCTTACCCAGACAGTGGTGCAGGACTTGGTAAATGGTGGAGAAGAAGTCCCATTTGCCTCGTACTAACTAGTCGGCTTTCGTGATTCAGGTTTGACAGCGGACGGAATGACTAAAACCGTGCGAATCCTCAGACAGAAAATAAACTGGCCTCGCAGAAAAAAAACGGTGAAAAGTGGATCAAATATCCTCAACTCCTAGGGGATTAATGGTCTTGTCTGTGCTGCTACCGACCAGGTTTGGTAACGTGGTTGCTAGCGATTGTAACGAAAGGGCACTAGGTTGTGGTCTCAAAACCATTTATTATGAATACGATGTTTGAATTCCTTGTCTGAGCGGACGAAAACAATGTATTAAGAAGGGACCAAAGATCGTGGCGTTTGTCTTCAGATTTTGGGCTCAAGCTAATGCCAAAAGGAACAAACCAAATTGTTTCAGGACGAAGGCATCCGAATAACCATTTATTATAACGTGCTAGCGATGGTCATAGATGCTGTGTTCTTGTCATAACGCCCAGCTGGTGGAGCATTCTAAAACTCACCGCGATCGAATCCCAAATTGACAGCTCAACAGCGAGAACATGAAGTGTATTGCCGAGTCCTAACAGCGAAAAAGTGGCGATAAAAAGGTACATGCAGAAATTTCAAAGGTCTGTCAGTAAATAAGCCAATCAGATCATGCCCTTGAGCCGTTAGCATGTCGACCGGACTTCTGACTCATCTGAGTTGCTGGGCGCTCTTCCGGTGGCTGGCGTGATATCAACACGCGCAGGCGTGTGGGCGTGCGTTGTTAGGACGGCACGTAAAAAAGTCGGTTAGGGCGGCTCCTCGTAATGGTCAATCTATTTTTGGTAGCCAAGCTGATAAAAGCATTTATGCCCTAAAGTCTAGGACCAGTCCGAACCGCCACGTAACGACAAGCAATCAGTCATTCAGTTTGGTATAACTGACCGATGACATCTACTAACGCTGAAGTAACCATTTCAGTTTCTCTAGTACGTTTTCTGTAACGCTGCTCGCCAACGGACTTTGAACATTGTGCAGTCAACAGTCAGACTAACTAATGTGATTGCTATTCATACGCCACCTTAGGTAAGGAGCTTTATGCGGCAGTTTGGAAGAGGTCAAGCATAAGTGTCTGAGTATAAATTTGATAAATTTCACCAATCTCTGCCGAGAAATGTTTTCGTGAGTCTGCATAACTAAAGAGTTGCTGGAATACAAGTAAAAGGTGAGGTCATGAAGACTACCAAATATAGTACCTGTGCTAACTCATGAAATGCCGAGGTCAAAATTATAGTGAAAACTGTAGCGTATTTTTGGTGTTGTTATTTGTGTTTATTTAGTTGAAATAAGGACAAAAAGGCCGTTTGCTGAAGGAAAGTTTGATACGGATCTGTATATTAATTAGAAAACAGGCCGAATTTGGGCGAAATCGGAGGATTCCTGATATTCAAGCAGTTTCCTACGCTATTAAAGCTTTCGGATCGAAATTCTTTGTTTTACCTTATTAATCTGTTTAAGAAGACTAATAAAAGGAAGAAATTTTTCAATAAACGTTCGTGCAAAAAGAAAAAATTAAATTTCAATATCAAGAAAATCAGGGAAATTCGGATAAATTATTTCTTATTTTGTTCAGGAAATAAGGTGCCATTCTTCATCTAAAAATTCTATTTTACAAATCCGTAAAGTTTTATGTTTCAAAATACCGAAATAAAAAAAGTTTATCAGTTTGATTGTTTTACCAGACCGAAAATGCGTATCGTAAACGAATATATATTGAGTTAGCGCGGCATGCCGTCACTTTTCTCTACCACGCCAAACGATACCCATGTCTAAACAATACTTGTCCGAAGTTGACTTCCAGCGTATTCGAAAATTAGCGGCGGAGGCAATCCCGCGTGAGTCGTTAGCTAGTATTTTCAATATTAGCAAGGTCACTCTGTGGCGCATTATTAATGATAAAACTGTTCATAGAAATAAGATAGGGGGACCCAAACGGTCCACAAGTAAGCAAGACGACGATTTTATTCGTCATAAATTAAAAAAGTTTCATGACATGCCCATTGAGACCATTCAACGGGAACATCTGCCGATGTTTTCTATGAACATAATTAGGAAAAGGATGAAAAAATTTGAACTGCAGCGGCGAAGGGCCATGATTAAGCCATATTTAAGTAGAAAACTAATTAGAGAACGGCTTTTATTTGCTAAGAATTATATTGATTACAGATCTTCATTTTGGAAGAACATTTTCTTCTGCGATGAGGTTTTATTTTTAGACACGCCTACGAAATTGCTCCAAACCGTCATATGTGGAAAAAACTTCCCAAGAGAACGCACTACACCGACGGAAACATTCAAGAACTATCGGCGGATGATGGTTTGGATGGCGATTACATTCGGTGAGCGGCCTGTCTGGCGGTCAACATCCGACACCATCAACAGCAAGGTGTTTATTGCAATTGTCAAGGATGCTTTCGGCTACAACGGCAAAAGTCGGCGCCGAATGGATACTGTGATTTTGCACGACAATGCACCTGTCCACCGCTCTAGAGAGGTACGAATTTGATGCCGCTTGAAAATATAATCTAACATTTTAGACAACAACCACCCTCTCCGCAATTGACCTCCAAACCATTTTCATCCCGGCCAACGGTCCCGATTTGGATCCTATCGAAAATCTTTTTGGAATAGTCAAAAGAAATTGGCACAAAGCTAAGAAGACTATTTCAATGCAGGAAAAATTGGATTTTATACTCCATAATTACATTTTGCAATCCACCATAGATAACCTCGTCATGTCTATGTATGACAGACTTTCTGCCGTTATTAATTCAAATGGACATTCAACAAAGTACTGAGGTTTTGTATCTGTTTCTGTCCTTAATTTTTTTGCCCTTCTATGCACCCTCCTCCTTTATACGCCCTCATACGTAGCCTTTATTAACTTGGTTGTAATATAGGCGTTTCTCGAAAATGTGACTTTTGTTGAAAATTATTTATTTTTATCTCAGTAAATAATATTTTCTTAACCAAACTTTGCTTTATTTCTTTGACACATCGTTTATTTTCCGCTATCATACTTTGGGAGCCGTAGTGTTTACCGATTCTGCGTTAAAGTCGTTTACTTGTGTTAATTCATGACATTTCATGAGCTAGCACAGGTACTGTAATATAATGACTCAAAAACTTGTCCTTATTAACAGCGACCAAAAAAGTTCACTGGTCTAATACCAAACACATTATTAAAGACGTTTGTAAGTGGTTGATGTCTGGGCGGGAGATTCCGGCATAAGCCTCTTGAGACTTTTGCTTTTAGCAGCGTGCAGACTGAAACACTTAACGAGCTTGCTCTGTATAGTTATCGCACCGATCAACGGGGTTCGAAAAACATAAATGTCATTTACTCTAATGTGGCATTTAACATGGCCTTTTTACAAAACGTGACTTGACGCCCAGTGGCATCAAACTAAAAATATAACATGGTATTCCACTTAAATGTCCCCGTTACTACCGTGGTAGCTGGCTTAGATGTGGACTGGCAGTTACAAAGTATGCATGTCTTTTTAGTGGTGTGACTAGCCACGCTTAGCTTTCCCTTGATCTTAAATCGGCTCAGCGTTCCCGAAAAATCCCAAAGTGGAATTATTCGGTCGAAACAAACACCTACGCCAAAATAATCACAGTCTGTCGTATGACAGGAGAGAAAACAAAAATTGGAATAGTCGGGTTTTTGAACACGGCGAGACCTTCGGTCACTTAGTATTTTCTCAAAAAATACACCTTATACGCGAGGTCAGTTAACGACTCGGTCTGGACAACTGTTTTCGGAACTTTGGCATATTCTCATCAAATCATTCGGCGAACGATTGGCTGTAAAGTTTAAAATTCAGAGGAAGATACTCCGATAGAACATGTTCCCACGTGAGTTTACAACAGCCGACTTCTCCGACGAAATCCGTGGAAAGAACACTATTTGCCGTTTGTTTTCCAGCCCGTAAAATATCTATGTAAATACACGAATACGTAGAAATTATTCTCGACTTCACTTAACTTCTAACACCGACAACCATGAACGCCGCAATAAACACCGCAAAAGTCCTTCCGGCCTCCAAAAAATTAATTACTCTACTGAGCTGTCGAGAGAAGAGGCTTTCCGACATAAAACAGTCATTTCATTAGACGCCGCATTATTTGCCATCTCCAGCGTTTGCTTATGTTCTCTCATAAAAGCGTGGAGTGTGGGATTTCAATGGCAAGGCACAGAAACGCCATATACATACACATACATACACACATATTATTGGTAGTATGCCCAGTCGAAACAGACAGCACAACGAGCCCCTGGCTAAATAATTAGGGCTTTGGGCCAACAGGTCACGGGTTCTGGCTTCGAAGTTAGGTATGGCTAATTGATGACAACCAAAAAGCCAGAAGTTGCTTGGCATTACGTTCCGATTGTCTAAGGCCTTTTCCAATTTTCCCTGCGATTTTTGTACACAGCATCAAATTCTATGTATCGATTGATGCATGAGCTGTCAGAATGCATGGCCTCTAAAAAATCGCGTCTTTTCGTAGATAAGCAGACACTTATAATGGGTGCTTTGTTCTATGCAACTGTGTGTCCAGTTTTCTGCGTATGCATGGCAACCTGTGACAGGTGCTCTCGGATTTTTCCTGCCAACTGATGCTCGCTTATGCGTGCAGTGGTTGAATTTCTAGTTCGACCACAGTAGGACGTATTACAGGTGTCGCATGGTATCTTATTAAAAAAAGGTTACACGTATAAATGAACATCAGTTGGCAAGAAAAAGCCGAGACAACTTGTCCCAGGTTGTCATGCATACGCGGAGAACTAGTCACAAATTTGCATATAACAAGGCTCGAAAAGCTGCGACTTTTTAGAGGCCATACATTCTGACAGCTCATGCATCAACCGATACACAGAATCTGACGCTGTATACAACAATCGCAGGGGAAATCGGAAAAAAACCTTAGACAATCGGAAAGTGAGCCCAAGTCACAGTAGAGACAGGGCCATATCGATTTTAGTTACGTTTAAATTTTGACTGTTTTGCACACTTTCTTCAAATTTGAGGACGACTTGGAAAACTAAACTCGAATATTTTCGAAGTACATTTTCTCATCTTTCCCAAAGTACCCATTTCTTTCGAATTATGTTTCTTGTCAAAAATATATATTTATATGCAGAATAATATTACCGTCTACTAGTCGCCGTGAGGCTGCCGGATGCGTTCTAGTTCAACACTCAAAACTCAACAAGACGGGCGCGTTCCGTAGCCAGATCGTCAAATGAACATCCAACATATATTTAATGGTAAGGGGATGCTCACTGATCACACTACGGAACTCACTCGTTCCGTTGTGTCTTGGGGACGCTCTCTCAAGTCCCGCTAACAGCCGCACAGGGGAGCGTAATTTAGGCAGAGTAGCATTACTGACAAAGACAAAGGAGACTGGACTGGCAGTTTTTGGCTTAAAACCGTCGTTAGCAAGTCATATGCAACACTAAATTGTGGAACACCTGGGCCCGATCCCGCGACCTGTTGGTTAGATGTCCAACGTCCCTAACCCCTAATCTTAAATGGTGTATCTGTTCACAAGAAAGCACAAATAGACTGAAAACAAGTAGATGTTGTTTAACGGGGCACTAGATGTGTTAACCCTGTTATTTATGGTTGCAACTGACAAGAATGGATACATTGAGGTCTTTTGTTTAACTTAACAACAAACTGTAGGATAGAATGAAATCTACTCATGATGCTAGGATTGTCAGTGTACCATAGTTTTGATTCTGCTTCTACAACTGAATCTGTTCTATAATTGCAGGGGAAGAATTTTGGACTGTTAACATACAAGGGAAGAAAACGTATACTTTATGTTATAAAAATAGACGAAATTTACCTTGGCATTATAGATTAATCTGACGTTGTCGTAAAGCAAAAACAATCGGATAAGAACTCAGGAACACTTTACGTTTCGTTTTTAGGGATGGCAAGTTTCTTTCCTATGAATAGGCACACCGATTTTAGACTGGAATAGATTAAGCAGCTTCCCGAAGGTAATTTTTAATGCATTATTCAGTATACTTTTTATGGACACCGGTATATAAGGTCATGGAAGTTACGTACTCTCTTGAGAGGTTTGAGTACGGTACGACCTTGAATCGAATCAGTATCATCGCCATTACTTGCCTACCGATACTGATTCTCGTCGAGACCTAGATGAGACTGAATTAATCGTATGTATAAAGGCGTTTGAGGTCCAAATAAGTGCGCTCTCTAAAAAGATCGAACATAAGACACATAAACGCAGTGAGGCATCTTGTTGCGTCCATCAGAATTGCATTAAATGGGACAGAGACCAGCTGTCAAAAAGATTTCCAGAATGTTTGAAAGAAGTTAACAACAGGCTGTGGCCTTCGTATTTAAATGTAGAATAAAGTATAATCTTCATTCCGACCTGGTTGAATTCTTCAAGGCATTCTATCTATTAAAAATGGAGTTTGGGGAAACATTTGCTGGATTAGCATGCCGTCAGGCGGAACGCGACAGCGTTCAGTTGAAAATGATCAGTGTGGTTTACGTAGCGCTGAGTATGGTAACCAGACGTGTTAGCCAGAAAGGCTTTAAGCAGTGGTCAAATTCAAAGCGTCTACGTCCCGATAATTATTCACGAATGTTTGGACATTGGGAGTAATAAGGTGAACTTTTAACCCTGGCTCACGAGCTCTAGTTAGATAACACTCGGCCATACCGCCGTACCTCACTGTGCTAAGGGCACGCGACTGAAGAATGGCTACTTTTATGCCAAACTGCGGGTTTCGGAGAGTATACGCGCTTAAACCGGACATACCTTTGGATAGCTGTGATCAACCACCTCACCGTCCAATCTTCCTACGACCTCATAGAAGAAGAGCTTCGTCTTTGAAACATTCCGCTCATCAATGGCTGTAAAGGCGAGCTTTGAACTGTCGGGGCTCCACCAGAAGGTCTTGCTTGTTCCCAGAATCTCTTCTGCCAGCGGAAAGGAAAATAAACACAAACGTGAGTCAGTATACGCTCTCACTACCGTGCGGTTTTAATTACTGACGCTCGGCCTGACTTCCAGTGCCGCGGGCCTTAAAGCGTCTGCATACACTGCCGGATATCATGAAGACAGAGGTTGCGTTTGCATTTGAATCTGCAAACCAGCTACCTCGGTCAGTGGCACAGAGGCTAGCATACATCAATGTTTGGATCTGCGAGGCAAAGGTCAGATGACTGACGTTACATCTTCCGTCATTAAACATTGTTAGAGTGTTATTTCTCGACGCTGAAAAATTGTTTCCAAAGGTTGCTTTTACGAACGCGGACGCGAATTGCCGAACACACGGCAGCGGTACGGAGAAATGACGTCAACTCTCTGGTCGCGGACCATTCGACGAGGCCCAGCCACACATTCAAGTTCGATGAGGCTGAAATTCTCGCGATAGAGAATAATTGCCTGAGCCGCGAGTTGCTTGATTCATGGTTCACTGGGCCTCAGTCAACCAACAAGTGCAACGACATCCATATTCGCGCTGAGATATAGGCTGGCCAAAGTAATTGACCACTCGGAGAGCGCGCAAGCCGGCGAGCCAGATGGCCGAGCAATCATTACGTCAGCATCAAACACGGGTGATGACATTTCGGCAATTAACAACTCGCATGCCGGTCACCAAGCCATTAGCGCACCAGCGGGCAACAACTCTTAATGAAGATGAGCGCGTTACTATAGGTATGCAGTAGCATAGCGACTTCATTCTATAAATACTGCAACTTCCTGTGCAGGAGTCACTTATTTCTGCCACTGTCTCTGCTGATGCGTTCAAATGAGAATCCGAAACGTCAGGCGAATAAAGCCCTTGTTCCAGCGATCGTTTCTTTTTCATCTTCTTCTTCGTCTTCTTCTTTTGATCAACTAGTTCCTGTAACTCGGATCTTCGCTTGTATCGGCAGTTATGTTTACCCTGGTAGAAGTTGGCTGAAATCATGGGCTATTTTAAGAAAATGGTAAATCGAGGGAATGGCGTTTCTTCTGTTCCCAGAGAGAGAAAGAGGAGGGGAGGGAGGGAGCGGACAGGGGGCGAAAGAGGAGAGAGAGGGGAGATGAGGAAAGAGGGGAGAGAGAGAGAGAACAATCAACCAAAGCCGCGGCACAGATCCAAGGTGGCACTTCGTTAGAAATGCACTTAAGAAGACAACCTCCGCTTTCCTGCGTCGTAAGTAGATGGTGGCCTGGCAGTTTATCTCTCTTCAACAAACAACAACATACCTTCGTAAAGAAAGCCGGCAAACCCATAGAGCACGCCCTCGGTGAAGATAGGTGCGGTCACATTGACCACCTCATGTGGCGTCACTGTCAGAGGGTTTCGAATATAGTAGAGTTGGTTCTTGTGTACGAATGCCTGAAAGAATAAAAATAAACCAGCTTTGACGGGTAGACAGTACAGAAAAAAAGGAAAATGGGAGTTTGTCGGCTGCTCCCAATGTTTCCCTGAAAAAAAACGGCTGAAGTGTATATCAGCTCTTTAGAACACCACACGAAAGGTTTCCTTATGCAGACGTTGGCTACAGCGCCTCTTGTTTTCGTCTACGGGGTGTCCGCGAAGGTGTGAATAGAACAGGACGTAAAACCTAAATAGCGTTCGCGCAAATGAACTGCCTTGTTTTAACTAGGTGTTCTCGAGCTCGGGGCTCAAAGGTAAAACTATACATCTGAATTCTGTGATATGACCTGAGCATGACTGACAGCAAAATACGACTTTAAGTATCCCTGAAAGCGGCCGAAAGGCCCTGTGCTTGTGACTCTGTAGAAACAGATTGGACATAAAGTCTGCAAAAGCCAGTTAGCGTAAATCAATATTGGCGTAGGCCTCAAGAACTCCATTGGCCAAGATTTCTTCAGTAGACTTGGGAACTAGACAAACCAAAAGGGACTTGAGGTGTCTGGTACCTGGTGAGTATTCGAAACACCCCTAGCAAAAACTGGGACCCGGAAACATAAATATCAGGAATACGCATCCCAGTTTAATATGTGGGACACTCCTCCAACCACATTGATAAAGTTATTCCGACTTTTTGATTGATAATCAAACTTAACTTACAAAAATGAGAATTGAGTGGGAAAATGCCGATAGAAAATGCGTTACTGAATAGGAAATGTAATACTCAGGCTTAAATGACGATAGCAGATGCGTGCCTGTAACAAACAAATGACCTTTCCCCGAAGTGCAGAAACGCCTGTGAAGTGAACGGTGATCTGGGAATAAAGTTAAGGCATGAATTCTCTGCAGGTTGTTGGCGGCCAATGAATCATCCTACTGCATAAGCTGCAGAAGATGTTATCGACATGTGCGCCCTAGAAGACTGAAGAATTCCAGCTGCCAAGAAAGTGTCTCAGACTATGTTCACTCAATGTGCATGCAAACCGTCCCAAAAAGTGGATCCAAGAAATGGCATCACGACAGGTTACCAGTCAGCTTACGACAGAAATAGACTGAAAATGAAGAAAGAGATTAAATTCTATGTGAACTCACAATTGCCTTGGCCTCGGATGAAAAGGACGCGTGGTTCAACAGAGGCGGATCAGCAGGTTTTGGGTAGGGGGATATGTCAATGCGAGCAAGGACTCGTCGATCGGAATCTCTTGAGGGAGCAAAAACGTACAGAATTAAGCCCTACTCGGGTTGCTTTAGCATGAAGCATGGCAAACGAGGAACAAATGTCTTTTGATATTTTGTCTTGTTTTTCGCTCAAATTAGGATCTAACGTAAGCAGCTGCAAACGTCAGTAAAAGTAACGTCTTCATCCATTTCCGGCTTATTACCGGTCGTCAGTCCTACACACCTCCGTGGTTACAGGATCCTGAATTGGAAGCCAGAATCTTTGGACATGGGGAGTAATTGAACTTTCAACCTCTGAGTCACGGGCTCGAATTCCTGTTGGCTGCGATCTGGAATCTTAATGAGGGTTCAGCGATTGCGATCTTTCTTCCAACGCTGATGTAAATACATATATATTTATATATATGGTAGGGGGCGCTCACTGGTCGTTCTTACGGAACTCCTTCGTTCCGTTGTGCCTTACGGACTCTCTCTCGAGCCCAACCAGTTGTCACACAGCGGCGCATGATATAGACAGTATGTTATTACCGACAAAAACAAGGGAGACTGGAATGGCCATTTCCGGCTTATTAGTCGTCGTCAGCCAGTCATACTCAACTCCGAAGTGCCGAACATCCGAAGTTCTTTGTCAGTAATAACATACTGCTATATCATGCGCCGCGGTGCGGCTGATGGTTGGGCTCGAGAGAGAGCCCGTAAGGCAAAACGGCACGAGTGATCTCCGTAAGAACGATCGTTGAACGTCCCCTACCATTGTCTATTCCCGATCGAAACCGACAGGGAAACGGCCTCGTGGCCCAGTGGCTAGAGGCGTTGGACTTCTAATTAACAGGTCGCGATTACGAGCCTCAAGTGCTCCACACTTCGAGGTTAGGCATGACTGGTTGACGACGGCTAAGAAGCCAGAAATGGCCATTCCAGTCTCCCTTGTCTTTGTCGGTAATAGCATACTGTATATACGTAGGACCCATGGAGTAATTTAATACAGAAGCCCCCTTTTAAAATTTTTCTTTTAAATAGCATGTGCATAATTTCGAGTTGATATCAAACATCTGGGCTTTATAATGTTTTCTCATTCTTACATATATTTAAGTGCAACGCATTCCTAAGACCCGCAAACTACGCTCAGTGTACCTCCTCAGTATATTTCTTTATGTCTCGGCAAAGGTATATACATAACCATAGATATATCCATAGATATAAACTGTATTCTAACTAAGTGCTTATCTTGAAGGCAGCATTAATAATCTCGCGGGAGTCAGGCTATACGAAAAAGATGTAAGCGTCTCAAATATCTTTACAAATAAACCCACCCACCGTACTATAGATTGTCTTGCGCTGAATTACGGGGAGATAAGGATAAGGATGAGGCCAAACAAATGTCTTGCAGTGAGTCTGAGAGAAAAATTTCCAGTCTCTTTTGCAAAGCAAATAGGTGATACATGGTGACTGTTTATATATACCTCCTAGAAGCATTTTGACTCTCAAAAATTTTGGTATCATTCAAGAACAAACTCTTCTGGATTTTCAGTTTTATGTATATACAATAAAAAGGTCAGTAAGCAAGTTCAGATCGTGTTCTCATCAATAATGAATACAGTACAATTACTGGAAACAAATATGTATAACATATAACTTGGCCGCTCTCAACATTGTGGTCAAACTAAGGACATATCTCTGTCCTTGGTATTAAGTAACGAGTGTCCGGCAGTTATCTGCTAGGAGGTCAACTTACCAGTTTTTCACCCAAGGCTCTCCAAGGGCTTTTTGGCATGTTAGTATTCAGGATTTCAATCGCAAGTCCTTTTACTTTCCTCAGAAATTGACGTGAAAACTTGAAAGGTTATTTATTACTTCCGACCGAGACTAGACACTGATGACTGCATCCATCGTTTACAACTAGGATCTTTTAGTCGCAAGCTAAAATGGAAAATTTGCAGCATACCTCAAAGGGCTGCCGTCGCCGAAACGTAGTTGATAAGTGCCCTTCTAAGAGTGCAAGTGTCGTAAACATCAGAAGTAGCACTGCAGCCCTTGTTACATGTTTTATAAGGGCTGTGTAAGCACTGGCACGGTACGAGCTTCTTCATCGACGCCGCTAACCTCCCTGCAGTTTTAATTCCCGATCGCACACATGTATAGATAGGATTTGGCTCGGGGTACGATCGTCTAAAACTTACTGCATTGCCAGGTCCTCTGAGGACGTGTTACCATCGGCATGTTTGCCGTCCGGATCAGCTGTGATTAGTTATGCAACTTCCTGACATGCCAGTAAAGAAGATACGAAAGGGTCCTAACCCCCCGCCCCCTTCATTTTGCAGACCACTGACCCAGTCAGTCCAAAAGTTAACCTCGCGACAGTTTGCGACTGCTTCCTAAATTACAGCCAGAGTCGATCAGAGATTAAGCCCATTTGTTAGGAGGCGAGTCTTAAAAGCATTGTCTACTACCGTGAGACATACTGAAAGAAAACCCAGCCATAGATTATTTAAACACACCTGATGAAGTTCCTGAGCTGGCTGACAGCTCCCAGAAACAGGAAATCCGGCTTCCAGAAAAACTGCCCCCCCACACGCATGTGAGACCTTTCATTTAAATTTCAAGGAATTTTTCCCGACAGTTGTCGCTAGTTTAATGATCTTTTGTTCGTGTTTTATCCCAGAAAGTCTGCATATCTTTTATTCACGGAGTCAGATGGAACGGCCGGAAATGAAAATCGTATAAGCTGGCAACCAGGCCAAGAAGATTAACGGATGACCGTGAACTCTCATTTTGTCTCAGCCGCAGAGGCTGTCACCGACCTACCAGAATGACAGACAATTATAGGTGACGTCGTTAAGTCGCAACAGACACAAACCGCCGGGGACGGTTGTATATGTGTAACGAGACGTTTTAAACAAAGCAAGTCGGTGGTGGAAGTCTTCAGTGGACTACGATGCGCAGTCGCTGTTAGCTGCAATGAAACACTTCTACAGGGTGGCGTTTAGTGTTTCACCCATGTTCCCAGACTGATTACAATGAACATATTTCTCTCAAAAAGTTCAAATGCCCGCCTTAACTTGCGGCCTTAACTTGAGTAATGTTGCTTTGGTTAATACGGAGTAAACTGTAGAAACTCCAGTACTATAAACTTACAAGACTTGGTCTAAAATTTAATTGTTTTTGCACACTTGTTGTCTGAAAACGAGCTGGGGGAACCGGTCTCGAAAAGTTACACAATAAAGTTTACTGTTTCCCAAAGAATTCGACCTTTCTAAATATATATATATATATGAATAATGGAGGTAGTATGCATTCCGAGGCTATATAATAAAAGGAGAAGGCTCGTCGGAAAATAGAGGTATACTCGTGAATTTTCAAGTCGGTTCCACCAACCCGTCGTCAGACGAAAATGAAAAGTGTGAGGGAGATAATCCTACTGGGGAGTCAGGGGGGCATCGAGGTTACATCGACAAGACAGGCGTTTATGTGTGGAGGCTACTTGCAGAACTAGTCTTACAACGACTAGAACAAGATGTTGTGCAAAGTTTCCAACCAAAAACGTGGCTCAGATACGTAGATGACACATTTGTCATCGTTTAGACCTGTGAAGTTGAGCGATTTCACCAGAGCTTGAATGGCGCCTTCCCAGCACTACAATTCACTCGTGAAGATGCAAAAGGAGGCACCCTCCCGTTCCTAGACGTGAGCATACAAAAGCTCAGTGACGGCGGCATCGCAACAAGCGTTCATCGGAAAAGCTCTGACGCTGAGATCATCCTGAGCTATCAGAGTAACCACCCAGCAGCCCATAAAAGAAGCTGTGTTCGGACCCTTTTCCACAGGGCCTATCGTTACTGCAGTAGCGCCGATTTACTCAAAGATGAACTGGCCTACTTGCATCGCCTTTTCCGACTCAACGGATACCCCGCGAGCTTTGTGAAAAATGGTCTAGAACGTCAACAACAACCACAAAACGTCGACTCTAACGGAGACAGAGTATCACGGAAATTCTATTCCCTGCCCTACATGCCGAGAATTTCCGAAGCGATCGCTTGACAATTAAATCGATTCGGCATCTCCATCGCCCACAAAGCGGCGTCTTCATTGCGCACGACATTATCCCGGGTAAAAGACCCCATACCGAAGGAGCAGCAAACAAATGTCATTTATCGCATTCCATGTTCAAACTGCTCTAGCGTTTATGTTGGGCATACCGGCCGACGACTTGGGACCCGCATTAACGAACATAAGTTGGCCATCCGCCGACGGGACCCCTTGTCTCTCGTGTTTGCGCACTCCCTTGAGTGTGATCACCGCTTCAACTGGGAGGGGACCGAAGTGATCGCTAGTGCCAACACCAAACAAGCGCGAGAGTTTCTAGAAACTTGGCACTCTAATAGCAATAGCATCAACCGCCATGTCGACTTGGACGCTCAATACGAAGGCTTACGTTCACGGTTCGCCGGCTTGCGCCCACCCTAAGCCACCAACTGCAAATCCATGTTCGGCCATGTAGAATATCATGGATTCAGCACCTCCCCCACGGAGTGAACCATGTGTGAATCCCCCAACACCACCCCTAACGTCCGCCACCTATCCAAACACGTTCTTCACCCCCACACATAAACGTCTGTCTTGTCGATATAACCTCGATGCCCCCCTGACTCCCCAGTAGGATTATCTCCCTCACACTTTTCATTTTCGTCTGACGACGGGTTGGTGTAACCGACTTGAAAATTCACGAGTATACCTCCATTTTCCGATGAGCCTTCTCCTTTTAATATATATATATATATATTATCAAAGTTCACAGTAAAAACTGCATGATTTGATGTATTGACCGGAATACGTTTAAATTACGGATTAGGAAAAGCAAGTTTGCACTTACGTAGAGAGGAAAATTGCCTGGTAGTAGGATAGAAAACTTCGTCTGTACAGCTAAAAAGGGGCGCAATCGAGGAGTTAGCGACAATCGCGCTGAGGGCATGCATGCGCTCAAAAAGGTGTTATCAGAAGCACAGTGTGCAAAAACTGTTGGCTGCCTTATTCATGTAACTAATGTCTGAGGTTAACATTTCTAGCCTTCATTTCTCAATATAGAATGTTTTCCGGCAAAATGTGCCTAAGGAGTGAAGATCAAGTAATTCTTCACATCTCCGCTCAAACATCAGCTCAAAGTTAAATATGGTCTATGTTTTCCAGCAGATTTTTTAGATAACCCATTACTAGAACTCGTTTTTCATTGTCGGCCGAAACAGTTTCAGCGACGCATTTTCTTTTGTTTAGGAAAACAGTAACTAAACATCCCGTGGCTGTGCTTTTTTGTGTAACGCAACATATTTCAACTATTGAGGAAGCATTCCAGTTCAAATATTTTGGCCGGATAAACCAGTTGGCTCATGATGTCTGCATCGATGTGCGTATCATACGTCTTGCCGTAACTGTTTGGGCTGGCTGGATTCTGCGCCATTTAGCGATGATTAGTGTCATTTACTCGTTTTGTAATCGCTGATGGCCCTCTCTACATCTCTTCTTGGCATACGGGTTGTGTGGGGGGATTGGAGTACTGTGGACACGACTGGTCAGATTTCGATTCAACTGGAAACAAACGGCGAATACCAAACGATTGACCAATGGAATATCCGCAGCCGCGCCAGCGAAAAGTGAGTCCCCAAATAGGGCGATCAGAGGGCCGTTTAGCCGCATGGACATGCAGGGCGTTGTCGTTGAATGACAAGGACACATCTGATGTTAGTCTCACAATACACATGGATGACTCTTTGTCATCAAGAATCATCTGGATCGAGGGTGAAGTTCCCCTAACTGGTTGAAGAATCTCGGAATATGTGAGACATTCCGGATCTTCATAGTTTGTCTTGAATAAACGCCTTTCTCGGTTACAGGGAATATACTGTGTCTGATGTAAAAGTAACTTCCTAAAAGCCCTGGCAAAACAAGACTTTGTACTAATCAAACACATGTACTCAGCCCTATATGTACTGGTCTGGGCTCATATTTCAAATTTCTCTCTTTCTGTCGATTTTAAAGAGGCAGTGTCCAAAACACATATGCTTTTTGACTCGGTTATACAAAAATGAGCTTATTTAATTTAGACCCACTTTGATTAAATAACGCCTGTGACGATTAAGTCAACTAGTTATTGGAATATGCATATGCAACCAACCTGACTGACTGTAATATCAAGATACGTTTACAGAATACCAAAGATTGGAAGAGATTCAGGTAGGCATTTTAATTTCGTTCCGGAATTCGAATTTGTGATCCATTGTGACCAATGAAGTTCATTTGGATATGCTGTAATTTACGGAGTAGGAACCCTCCAGTCGGAAATACAAGTGGCCGTGCGCAAAATTCCAGGATTGGCGAATATGTCCATGTCATAATCCCAACCTTTACCCAAGCTTTGGTCCTAAGCCTTAACTTAATCCTAACCCTAACCCAGCCTTGACCTGAATACTTACTCTAATCTCCCTGTGAATTAACGCAAAAGCCGTGGGATAGGAGGGTTAATATTTTCGCTCCATGCCGAGTATCCTGCTCCATTTAAATGTTCTTTTAATGGCGAGAAGCTTGTTTTGTCTTTTATTTTATGGTCATTGAGGGAGGCTATTATCAACTGTGCCGTATATATGCCTCCTTGACATCTACTTATCCGGTCGATCCACATTTGCCTGCCGACGCACAGGAGTGCTACTCCTTCATCAGCCGTACTAGACCACCAGCGAGCCGTGCTGACACAAGTAAAGACTGGACTAAAGTAAGGCAGACTTGCGCTGCATGCTACCTCGCCGCCCCTGCCTTAATTTATAGCACCCAAACTTCAAGTTTTAAGAGGACGAGCGGAGGTGAACTTGGGTGCAGCGAATAGTCAGACGTTTAAGCCAGAAGCCCACACTCTCTGGCCCCTCAAACGACACAACGTTAATGTGGACGTTATGGCGCCAGAAGGTACCATCTCTTCACACAAGTGAGGAGACAAGTGGAGCTTGGATCACAACTCAGAGTAACAAGGTAGCTCACCGAGTGACACCACCTCTTAAGGCCGCGATTGGTAGAATGCCGTGTTAGAAGGAAAAAGCAACAGTCATAATATGGTGAAGAAACATCGCAACGCTTTCTTGTCCCCCGCCCAACCTGGTGCGGTGGCACGAAGTTGTGCCACAGAGGATGATCTGTCAGGTAGCTCTGTCTGCGTCTGACCCGACCCGACTGTTTTCTGCCAGCATCAATAAGTTAGGTTGCTCACAGCAACGTAGTCGTCATTGGAAAGAAGTGGTCGCTAAAGTGGGCACAGCATCCGAAGACCATGAATGAGAGTTGGGACCTGGAGGAGGACAGCACAAACCGACCACCTCGTGCCGCAAGGCTATTGATTTAATTGTCAATCCCCCAAAGAAATTAGCTTTCCAATGGGAACACCACACATCCCGGACTGAGGCGCAGAGTAGGACACCCAGACAGGCGAATGGAGGTGAAAGTTGGAGTTCCGGGTATATGTATGAGTAAAGAAGACTGGTAGAGCACCGTACTTGAAAGTGTGTACGACTAGATTAAGAGTCCTCTCGAAATTTAACACTTCATGCCCGCTTAAGTCCCGAGGAGCAATCCGGGGTTGTGTATTGCATCCCGTTCCAAAACTGTCCTTGTAACTACACAGGTCAGACGGGACGAATGCTCGGATTGCGCATACGTGAACATAATCTGGCTATGCGACGGAACGGCGAATAATCGGAAGTGGCTGTCTACGCCTACGAAGGGGGTCATGAACTCAATTTCGCAGCCACTGAGGTAATCGCCCACGCTGGAAACAAAACAAGCTGAAAGTTGATTGAAACCTGGGATTCGGGCGAGAACTCAGTTAATCGATTTATCGGTCTGGCTCTGGCGTACAGAGCCCAGCACAGTTACCTTTAATCTTACATCATCGATCGATGATTGGCCGGCAGAGGACGTCGAAATGTAATCTTAATCTTGAACTGCCGAAAGAGCGTATTGGTATAAGACAAGAACAACCACAAGCCCCGCTAAGCGGTCCGTCACATTCAAATTCCTCACAAACTTTTTAGTCCCTATTCGCTGCAGAATTCTAATCCTACCTACTCCTGTCGTCTGCCGGAATAAAAGGAAAGTTATCGTTCTCGGTTAGAAATCAATGGGACATGAGAAGGATGACTGAGCATTAGAAGGAGTGCTTATATATTGAGAATTATGGAGGTGATTTCGTCAATTAATAAACTGTGGAACAGCACAAAGCGACAGAATAACCATGTTCCCAGAAGCGCCCTAAAAGCAAAATCTTGTGAATTTCAATAAGCTTAGTGTACTGAAACATATTTGGTTTAAGGAGTCACTGATGGCTGACACGTCCATCCACTTATCTTGTCGGAATGAAGTAGTCCTTCAAATTTGTGCCACTTTGTGGGATATGCGTCTGATATAAAATTCATAAGTATGGGCGACGGATGTCAATGAAATTTTCGTGTGGTTCCTGGCAGAAACCTGCTAGGCGCAATCCATATACCGCTGAATGGGCAGCAAATCTCACATGTCTAAAGTGTATATAAATAGCCCACTTAATGACCACACACGCACACTGCATAATTTGGCTCCAGAGGACGTGTAGCTTCATTCTTTGCCAGGCGAAGCAGTGTATATTGGCTAAACATCGAAAAGATTTAGACTTCTTGACTTCGACACTGGTTTTAGCAGGCATTTCGACAGCAGTGCGCTGGTTAATCCGGTTTTTGCAGTGAAATTTATTTGTGATTTATGTCCTGTAATTTGCAGTCATAAGAGCGCATTGCTATTTGCTGGTAGAAAGCTTCGGCGAATACTGTCGTTAAAGAAGTATATCAAGAAGCAACTAATGAGTCTGAATAGAGATCCTATCTCTTGGATGAATTCGATAAAGTGAGCGTTAATTTCAACAGTCGGTGGTCTTCAAAATACTACTGACATGGATTGTGCAACGAGTACGGTACCTGCAGCAGATGGTTGTGCCAAGGTGTCACGATGTTGGACTTGACGTTTTTACTGGGTAAACTGGATTTTTAATCATATATTCAGATACTGTCTGCATTACTGTTGCCCTTTGTTACCCAGTGAAATGGTGAACCTATCTTGTTGTAACAACTTAATCATAAATGTGCCATCTCACGAAATGCTAATCGAAACTCTGAAATGCGTTTCGACTCGAAAAGATTACCTAAGTACAGTTTTAGTATTATTTACTATGATGCTAGGATGCTGACCTTTAAATGAGCTGCATTTCTGTTGTCTGTAAAAACTACACTCCGCGAAAATGAATTCTGTTTCTGTTTTTCGGTGACTTCGTTAATTCAATCATATGTTACAGAAGATATGCACCAAATTATTTGTTCTAGTACTCATGTGGTAGAAAATTAGGTCTCCTCTAAAGCAGATACTTAAAAAATATTAATATTCGTGTTTAAAAGACTTTTACAATTCCCAAATAATTTTGAACTTCGCCTGTCTTTACACTTCCATTCAAGGTTTCCAAACTGCAAGCTGCATACTTCCAGTGTAAGTAAAATCATACATTACTTTCAGAAACAGGTGAATACCATATGGCGTTTATAAACATCTAAAGTTAAGTTAAACCATACTTTTTGCTTTACAAGCGATATTAATAAATTTGCAGGTACAATGTCCTATATGTGCGCTTTTCGTGGGCTAAACATATCTCATAATTAGGAACTTAAAAGCCAACAGTCGCTTGTTCTTCACGCATCAAATTTAAAAACGACGTAATGTGTCCCGGATTAAAGAAAACGACGAATACGTGTGGTGTATGTCTTCCACAAAATATGTTTAAATTTATGAGGGCATCGAAAAAAACCGGCCTCAACCAAGTAGACCTTTTTACAGAGTTTAGCTTTGCAGACGACGAAAAAGAGGCTCGTTCAAAAGCCGGCATTCTGATGTGAATGGTATGTTTCAAGATTGTACTTCATGGTAATAAGTATACCACCCCTTTTGAGTTATCTTTTCGAGTCAAAAACCCATTTCAGAACTTAAGATTACATCTGCTGTACGATACCTGGGAAGAAGCAAGGAATAAGAGCGACGAAACCTAACTCTTTATAAGTCACCATCTAACACCGAACGGTAACCTCTGAAAGTAATCGAAATTACCACTTGTGCAATCAGCTGAAGAACGCTACTCGGTAAGTAAAACAGACTTTTAATGTTTATTTAAGAACATGAATGGCCATCTAAGGAAGATTCCGAAGCAAAATGTAGGTCATATATCCCTACCAGTTCACACAGTGATAACTCAGCCTTAGTGCTTTTGTAGTTATGAGACGACCATAATTTGATCGTCAGTCTTATTAAACGATATTATATTAAGCCACTCATGACGAAACGGACGGTTGTCATTGTTTATTTAGTCATGTTAAAAATGGACCGATTCACGTGGAAATGCCGAAATTACTATCTAAAGCCGATAGTATTAAGCTTGTAACTTATTCAAATCGACGTCCTTACTCCCCTTCTACCTGAACGCTTGAACAGATCGTACGAACGAAGCGTCTGATGGTGGGCCTACCACCGTACACGCCGCCTTTATGTTAAATCTTTGTGTGTGGCACCCTCAGACGAGTTCTCCAGTTCTGTCAGCCACTGCGTCCAATCCCCGTATCCGACAACTGACCGGCCCCGAACTCAGAGTGGTGTCTGGGAGAGTGAGAGAGAGAGAGGAGAGAGATTGCGGTCAAATGCCTCAGCGCATATTCGTCACTAAAGACAGTTTGACGGACTTGAATTCATCGTAATGCGCTAAAAGCAGTGGCGCGAAAGGCTGCCAACTGATGAGATTACTCTGTTCTCATCTCATGGCAGTGACTTACAGTAGGTAGGCTAACTCAGGAGATGTCAACAAAAATTCCGAAATGCGTTTTCGCTTCGAGAAGATTAGTTATGATTGTAAAACTAATCAGCCAGCAGCATGATTCTATGGTAATTCAGTTACCTCAGGATGCCGACTTCCGAACGAACTTCCATTCGACTGTATGCAAAAACGAAACTCTGTAAAAAATGACTACTTATGTAGCATGACTTTTTTCATTGATTATCGATGACCGTAAATGCCCAATTATAGTTCATGGAAAACATGCATAAAAGTATTCATTCTTTAGCTCATTCGGTAAGAAATTACGTCTCCTTCCAAACTTATACTCAAAGGAGGAGCATTATTATGTTTTTAAAAAGTTTCTTATTGTGATACTTATTAACACCGTGAAAAGGCCGTTTTTTAAACGTCATGTCTCCGCATTTACCAAAGTGGTTTGTAAAGTTAACAAAGCGGATCAAATCCATTGCTAAATTTTAGGAAACCTATATGGTCTCATTCTAATACCGTAGAGAAACGTGTGGTTTTCCATGCGCGTAAAATATACGGTTTGTAGTTTGGAAACACTGAATCAAATTGTAAGGGCAGAGCGGGTTCTAAATTGTTCCAGAATCGGAAACGTTTTGAAAAGTTAATATTATCCTTCCTTCGAGTATAAGTTTGGAAGAGACGTAATGTTCTACCGAGTAGGTGAAAGGATGAATATTTTTATGCATGCTTTCCGTGAAATATAATTGGGCATTTACGGTCATCGATAATCAATGAAAAAAAATCATGCCACTTATGTAGTCATTTTTAACGAGTGTCGTTTTTGCATACATTCGAATGGAAGTTCGTTCGAAAACAGACATCCTGCGATAACTAAATTACTTTAGAATCATGTTGCAGGTTGACTAGTTTCACAACCCTACTTAATTAATCTTTTCGAAACGAAAACGCATTTCGGAATTTCGGTTGACATTTCATGAGTTAGCCCACCTACCGTAGGCCGCAATGGCTCCTCCTTAATATGGGCTTTAGAGGAACCCCACTCAACTTAGATCTCTGCTGCCCGGAGTGTGGCTACACGCTAAGCCAGCCAAGGGGACCTGATCCCGCCTCCAGTCTTCTTGACTCTGTCGTGACACCGGCTACAGGTGGATGGGGAGGAGAGAGTGCGATAGATGCAGCGCAAGCCTGCTATCAACTCATCGTTCCTGCATCTAACGTGCTGTGAGACACACGATGGACATCGTCCGAATCGACGATCGGACTGTCCCTTTACGCCGTATTGTCCTTTTTGCCCGAGATGTATAGTACCTACTTCGTTCACCCCATTTCTTCTGACAGCACAGGACTGTTTTCGATCTTTTCAGGCGTCGTCCGACATCTGTAGGAAGTAAAACGCCGAAATTGTGCTTCACTCCAGATCTACCAGTCGCCCCCCTCTTGTTATTCGTAAAGGTCAGAAAGGGTCGCGATTCGACCGGATGATCGGTGACGACAACCAATGCAAACTAAATACAGAACTTATATCTTGTCCTGTTCGCGGTCCAGATGCGAAGGAAAAATGGCCCACTGCGTGGGCTTATGATTGTGGGCAAGTTATGTGCCCACCATTGTTATTACTTAATATTGGCTTAACCCTTCTGTGAAGGACATTGGTTCGCGCCAAAAGTTGTGACTCTTTTTGTTTTCGGGCAAAAGAATGAATCGAAATGTGCAAAGCTGGCGGAATTTTAACCAGATTCTATGGGCCGTTAATTGTGAAAAAAATGACATCACCACTCGATCAAGCCTAAGAGAACACCAAGGCGACCTTGGCTATATTTTAGTTCATTTTGAACCCAACTGTGAAAACTCGTTGACCACGATATGATTCGAACCTCGCGCAGGAAAGGGGAAGGCTTGAGTACAGCCAGCATTCTAGCTACCTGAGCTACGAGGCCCCACAGGAAGCCGCTAGTTTGATCACATTTGGGTCAAGTTACCCACCCATCCTAGTGTAACGTCCGAAATTCACCAAATCTGATACAGTATGCTGACTGCCAAGCAGGATTTACTGATCGATAAAAGTAGAATCCACCAGATGCCTACCAGGCTTATATAAAAAAGGTGTTTTAGCCGATTCTGGATAATTTACCTGTGACTCTTGTTTTGGTGGGTTCGAGTGCGACCGAGGTCGCCGAGGTTTTCACGGTTGCGTCAAAAACAAATTACTCACAATCTGCCAGAATACCTATTTATTTGCTCATATTGTCAACGGAGGACATTAGCAAAAAGTCAAGACGAGTGTTTCACCAACTGCATACTTTTGCCTGGTGTTACTGGGCAAGATTCGGCTCCCTGATGGAGCGCCCTGTTGGGGTTCTTGTGAGGCAGTTGTATACGAGTACAAATCATTCGCTTGTGGATTCTGCGCCGATGATGACAATTGTTGAATCAAGCCCACCGTCATTAAATAGTTTCTGTCAAATGTAAGGGCTACAAAAGGCGAGACCTTCGATGATTTTCGCAGATATCGCGTTGCATCGAGACCGAACTAGGAGATGCAAGCGCTAAGTTTAGTAAAATTTGATCAACACTAGAACTGGCAGTCAATAGACAGTTAAAAATCTTTGAGAACTTTTTAAGAACCTTTTGACAAAAGGACACACGTTGTGACCGTAATACTGGTGATAAAGGGATCACAAAAATATTTCATGCATCAACAGAGGGCACTGCAGTACTGGGGTTTGGAGGTAAAATTTAAGCATTTTCTGAGATATGTTACATCCTACGCAAGCCAAATCATACAAATTGTAGGGCGAAAGAGGACGTACGAGGCATAAAGATTGACTTAAAATAAGAACGCAACTCACGGGAATGTATGTGTATCGCAGTAGGATCGCTGACATGTCATCAGAAACGGAGAATATGCCGGTGCAGTTTGGTTTCTGTGTAATGTAGAGGCAAAAGAGCTGATGAAACTTTATGAAAGCTTTGAGACGGTTCAGGTATGAAAATGGCAAATGGAAGACCCACAGGAAATTCAGGCACCTAAAGTCTACTAGTAATAAGGTTTAGGCCTTACAAACGTGACTAGGAAGAGGTAAAACTGGGATCCGTGTAGTCTGTCCACATTTCGCATCCACACGCAGTAAGGAGACTTGTTATGTTCATCCAGCAGGACTTGCGCTCAGAGAATAGCCCGATGTTTGCAAATCAGGATAGAGGTCGTGCAAAGCAACTTGGAGTAAAGTGCCGAGGAATTAGGAAGTGTAATTCTTCCTGTACGTCACGGGAATTGTTTCTTATACTTGCCTTGTCAATCCACTTAGCGTTTGACGCTTCGTCTGAACCTCCTCAGTTTAATGTAACAAGAATAACAAGAGATAGAGCATGGGCTCAGTCATCGGCTGCAATGGGTCATCGAAATGAGGATGTTCATCTTCTAAATGGATGAGAGTCCCTTCTTCGAATGTTGACTAGGCACGAGGGAGTTGGTTCCAGTTCTGGGTATGCCAACGACGCTGACTGCGCACTGCTGGTACAGAAAGACCGTGAAATCCGAAGTGAATAGTAGTTATTCCGATCAAGGTCTTTCTTTATCACAGGGCCGCAAAAGCCTCTTGCTGGTGACTTGCCGGAGGAGCGATTGGAGACGTCCACATTCGAATCCAAGACGTCAGAAAATCAGCTCAGTTCCAACAAAAACGATAATTTCCGATTGCGTGTTCCAGAGCATGATAGATGCAGAGCGGTGGCTTGCGCGTGGACTAGTAGATCCCGATAGCAGACTTGCACTCCACCTACCTCACTATCTCCCTCACTTAACTGGATCCGGCGGAAAGACGGTCAGGACAGTCGGTCGGTGACTTAGGCGCAGTGGCGAAGATAAATAACTCGTCTACGCGGCTCTCACCCGACCTGGATCGCGCATAATGCACCAATTTCTCATGAAAGTGGGAGGGTCGGATCCCGCCCGAATCATACAGGCCGCATTCAGAAGGAGCCACTAAGTCTGGCTCTCAATTATGAGAAGGACCGAGATATCTCATTAGCTAGCAGCACAAAACGAACACGTCCAGCGACCGGATGCGTAAACGCTCTTCTCACCCTAACACAGTGTTCCATCAATCCCCGCACTGAAAGACTACTCATAACGGCTCCCAAGGGCCTGCCTTGGCGCCACTCGCGAAAGAGGTTCAGGCGAAATCCAATAACAGAATGAATCGCACAGTCTTGTCGTTTACTACTTAAAAACAGTGCCGTGATCTGGGCCTCTGGTTGGCTCAGTGAGACGTCGGCTTCCTAAGGAGAATCGAGGCGCTTGAGGTCTTCAGCAATTATAAGACGGACACACGGGACTGTCAAGAACAGTTTAAAATAGGAGGTGGGGCCATCAAATACTGGTAGACAAAGATCACATTTACCACTTAATCGCCGACCAGCAGAACCTGACCTTTTAGTGCCGTAAATCGGTATGCTTTTCAAAAACAGAAAAATCCCCGCCACTATCAACATCAACAATATCACGAACATCTACCTTCTACCAGCACTGTCTTCCTTCTAAATACTTGTTTTCAATAAAGAACCATTTTTCTTAGCGATTTATGGGAATGAAAAGGTCTTGGTTGACCTCAGCGCATGTAACAATCGTCAAGTTAAGTGGGTCAACTCTAACCAACCCTGTCAAGAGCTAATGGAGGTGTTTCTTGACTTGAATAAGAAATTGGTCACGCGTGTAGAATGATGAGATCAAGGGGAATCTCTATATGTCACTTTTTGAATTATTTCGAACCACCTGAAGTCAGAGAGCTGTTGTATCCCGGTGGACTACACATCTTGAGAGGCTTAAGCACAGACAGACTTCTGAGTTGCCGTCGTTCGTACGGGAAAAGGGAAATCGGTCTGAGGGACTCAGCAGATTCAGAACATAGCCCGAGAACTTAAGCACCAGAGAGTGCCGCATTTGATTCACGCAGGTCACTTCGGCCATATGAAATGACAATATTGCAACGAGAGGACATAGACGAACCTCAGTTAATTTCGAAGACTCAGAGGCTAGTTGAAAAGTTCTAGTGGAGTAGACAAAAGTCAACGTTTGGCGGTGGAAAGTATGTAAAGCTTAGGGCGGATTAGCGAGCGTGATGTGGGGGAGGAGCATCGCCTGAAACAACTAAGGTAGTCATGGAGAGTGAAAGCGCCTGCTACGATGATTCAAAAAATAACACAGACTTAGATCAATGTGCTGACCGATCTGAAGAACAAGTCGTTGAGGAACACCTATGGACCAAGCTAAATATTTGAAAGAATGGGGAAGAACCTAAAATTTGTATGAAGACCCTCACTGATGACGGCCGCTGGTGTGGCGATAGATTTCAACAAATGTCCGGAAATGACGTAGTACACCTCCGCCCTCCTTAAATCCTCAGCTTAATAGGTTACGTCGTGGGATACATAAGTACGCTCTTCTTATGTCATTTGAGTATAACACAAGATCTTGGAGAGACTGGATTTGGTTTGATAACGAAATCTGAATATGACACTAATAATTAATCAAGTTACAGTTCCCTAATTCTACCTCCGTGATGGTTGCGATAATGGGAACGACCCTCACTAATTGCTTGCCGTCTAAGTGGAATTCAAGTGCTTGTCCAGGTAGGAGAAAATCGACAAATGTCAAATGTTTGGACCGTCACAGTCTATCCGAAAGAAAAGCGACGCATTGCGCAGTTATTTTGCCATTCGGCTTTTCAAAAGTCTATAATGCTGTCTTATGGAGAATGCCTCGAAAAAGCGCAAATTCCTGTTACAGTCACTAGAACAAAGCCTGGTTCTTCAAAAGAAAAAACCATATCATCCTTCATGGGACCTGGAGAACAGAGGTGTTGGTTCGTAGTAAAGGAGCTATCCTGGACCCGTGAACCCCACCATTGGCGCCTCCACTCCGCAGTAACGATAATGTGGGGAGGTGGATAAATGGACGCCACCTTTGCTGATAACGTGACAATCGCGAACAAAAATATGTGTCTGTAAGTCAGTAGCTCTCCTCCCGCCAAGACGCAGGTTATCAAAATGTGTTTATTCCAAGGCGAATCTCTAGAACACTTAAAATACGGCAGCACAAAGAGATAACACACAACGGAAATACGCAAAACTCTAATAATTAATGAACTTGGAGGCTAGGTAAAGGTTCTTCAGCCGACTGCGGCGCGACCAAGACCCGTAGTAGCGCACTGGCAAAGGAAATGAGTCACCTTGTCAGTGGTATCCGCAGGAAGTGTCGCAATGTATCAATGCACTCAAAACCTTATCTAGGCTCAAACTGAAACCTGCTGAGTAGGTTGCCACCGCAGAAAACTCAAACTGATGGCCGACTTCTAAGCAAAACTATTGAACCGTCCAGTGCTTTTTAGCCAGCGATACCCAAAACTCAAACGCTGCTTGAGGCCTGTGCTGTCTACCTGTTCAGACGTAAAAGTAAAGTTGCGTAACAGCCTCACAACTGGGGTCCACATGTGCTGGTTCTTATTAAAAAATGTACCTGTAAATTGTCTTTTAACGTCCGACAGATGGGCCTATTCACGTTCATGCATAGATATGATTTACTGCCAGACAAAAACAACAGCAAGTACTTAGAGCTATCTTTGTCCCAGTTGAGGTTGGTGCTGCAATCGTCTTTTATAATAGAGAGTCAAGTGATTAAAAAAGCAGAAAAAGCAAAAGCAGGCCCGGAAAGAGATTGGTACAAGCAAAAATTCCTTTTGACTTGCCTCCCGCAACTGGTCATTTGTCAGTAGAATTATGCTTTGATTTGTTTTAATGTCGATGGCAATTATGGAAAAGTTTTCTGCCATGTACACGAGGTGGTCTGAAATAGAGACATAATCGCAAAAAGAGCCATTGAAGGCATAGAGTGCCAGGTAACTTTTTACAATAATGAGTGCTGAATTTAGTTGTGCATAACAAAAATGACAAAAAGGCCTAAGCAATGCTTTAAAAAACATCTATTCTGATGTCTTATTTCATACTTTATGCATAGCAGGTGTCATCAAAAAGAAATTTTTGAGGGTAGGCGTTTACTTTTGCTGGGTTTTCTTATGAAATAACTGCATAATTACGCCTCTGAATCAGAGTTTATGTAAAAGACTGGTAAAATCGTTAAAGAACAATTACTCTGTAACGTTAGGTGTTAAGGCCTAAGGACCATTCGGGATTCACTTTTGACCTTAGTTTTTATGCATATTTGAGTGGTATTCTGACTTTCCATTTTTAAAATGTTCTTTTTGAACATACTGTTTTTTCGAAGTCAGTCAAACCTATTTTATGAACCTCTGAGACGTTTACTAAAAAGTCCTAAAGACGTTATCATAAAAGCCATTAAGACATTGCCAATGACATCTTATGAGTCTATTGATGAAAAACAACCAAAGTTAAAGCGTTGCAGCCATATAAAATTCGAACAAAATAAAAGTTCTTTGGCAAGGTCAATAAAAGGCAAGGTTGAAAAACCTGACTTTTCCTGTCAATTAAATGAACATATTCATGAATGGCAGCATGACAAATCTATTTGACGGCATTGAAATTAACCACTAGCATGCTTTATGATGCCTCTAAATTAAGCACCTTCAGAAAGAAGCTAACTTCTATCGGGAATAAATGACTGTTAACCCAGAAACATCAGTCATTGTTCTTAATAGAGCCAGACTAATGTTGACTTGTTAATTTAACTTGAAACAATATTTCCCTGAAATGAATGTAAAGCAGGCATGTCAAGCACTAAACCTCAACTAACAAAGCGGTTACGTGTATTATACCAAAAAGCGTGCAAGGCAAATGTAACTATGCTTACCTTTTGTAAAAATAGCATTTGGACGGTTAAGGAGACCGTTTAGAACAGCTACATCGTCCAGCGTTAGTGGAATTCCATAGTTCTTGACGACTTTATCTGAAATAAACAGGGAGAAAGTTATATTAATTCGCAATCCTCGACTTCTGACAAAGCATTTTTAATAAATTTTTAAATGGCACGTTAGCCTTATTGATAAAACACAAAACAAAGGCATAATAGAATATAATGCTACTTAACAATTATTTTTATGTTCCACTAAATCAACGATTCGTTCATATTGTGTCAGTCAAACATGTTATTATACCCGAATAATTGACGGTACTTCTGCCAGACGTGCAAAAGGCAAAACATAGAGTAACGGTAACGTCCAAGCACCCATACAATCACGTGAATTGTTACGAAACCACACCAGCAACACAAAGGTTTTAATTCGTACACCGGATGTACGCGTTTTTGAAGTCCTCAACCTGTGCCTCGTCAATCACTTTTGGTTTGGGATCTTAGTTATGCATATCTTCTAGCTTTAATTATTTCACTATCTTGATAGGGTAGGTCCGCGTTATAGTGTCGCTATAACAGCAACCCAAAGAGGACAAGAAATATAATACATATATCAGTTTAGGTTATGGGGAGGCATATAAGGCCGACTACAAAAACTGCCTGCGTTAAACCTAAGAGCCGAAGGACTGAAAAGGCATGAAACCTACCCAGCCATGGATACGAGATAAGAAAAGAAACATTGTGCCTAAAAAAGCTCAAATACTCTCATATTATTTTAATTTTCAAGGACGTAAATTTAGACTCCGATATATCTCTAATTGTCCCGACATATGGCATAATACAAAGGCAATATTTATAGTAATAAACGTACAGTCATATGTTAGGAAGCAGGCAAGGATAATAAGGGCCGAGATTGCGGATATCACCAGGAGTGCCAACATTAGCCCCTTCCAGTTTCGATTTGCGACTTGTGAAGAAGGTTTGACCTGTGAGGTTAGACGAGCATAAAAAGAGCATTCTCGTAATATGGGCAATGCTCACATCTTCAAAGTTATCATCGAAAAGTAAAAATGCTTATATACCGTACCAAATATTTATCCTGGTACATAATACGATTTCGGAATTTACCACTAGACTATGCACTCAATCGCATATATGTGCTACCGTTCATCGTTTAAACATAACGTTATATATAACAAACTAAAAATAAGACGATGCATATATTGTTTAAGTTTTAAAGACGAAGCATAAACACATACATTTGGACTGTAACACTGAAAGATTTTTGAACAAAATCTGCCACAAAACCACTCATCATCTGATTCACAATTGTGGATAGAGTTGGCCGTCGTCTTAAGACAGTTAAGATCACCGGCTTCATTTGATTCAAGAAACATATCCGTTGTTGAATAACGGCATCGAGTTAAGGCGCTAGAATTAGGAAAGCCATGTGATATCGCTGTGTTTCGTGTTGCGTGCATTTCAGGCAGCAACTAATCTAACCTTGACAATAAATGTGGTTGTTTAAAACAAATTAAATTTTCAGACTAATATGTTCGTAATTAGTAAAGTTAGCACCCTAGTTTATAAGGTTTCCTTTTCACCATCAAAAGCATTTTACAATATAGCATCAGAATATCAGAATATATTTGTTTGTCCGATTCGTTTTTATGTTATGAATGCCGAAATTTATCGTCAATCGTCACTTGGCCACTACTAGTCACTAGATTAGTTCTTTAAGGACTGAAATACTTGAAATCTATAGTTTTGCGTGAACAGTCGATCGAAGTTAAGTTTGTGCTTTTCCTTCCAAGATAAGTCCAAGTTTTGTAAAATGATACTTTTTAGCAGCAAATGTCATGGCACCTCTTAACATCCCTTTAGTAGTCATCGGCTATACGTCAGGTATTGGAAATCTAAAAATATCTGCGACCTCAGGAGCCTACGCATGTAACTGGGGGTTAGACGAAATTAAGTGATTACTCAAGCAACTTTTGGCAGGCTGGAGATATTTCTAGCATGCCTTCGCCCCTTTTGCCGTTCAGTGTGAACCAATTAACGTCGTATCTTCTCTTTTTGCAATCCCGACTAAGACTGAAAGGGACGCTTAGCAGTAAACCCATTACCTTACTACAACCCCGACAACCTCTTAAACGCGTAATAACCTACTTTGCTGTGTGCATCATTCTTCCTCGGACGAAAGCACATGTGCACTCAGAAATATATGGAGGTTGGGGATCTAAAGTTCATGGCCGAAAAGTGGTCTGAATTTTAAAACACTGTCTAAGAATGAACTAATAACATCCTGACGGTATTTTTTGCAGACCGTTAATATGGTTTGTGAATAACGGTTTGCACGTCTATTTTGTGGCAATTGAAGTCTTTGAGGCCCTTTTTCAGGTCTGATAAACTCACTTTCCCCAACAAATATTTAAGTCTCCTCATTTACGTCCGTTGTCATCAATTATTTATACAGGACTGAGGTAAAAGATGTGGAATCTTTATTAGACATGCGAATATTTTCATGCAGATATGTCACTTTGACTGATATTAGTCCTAGAAGCTTGAGTAACCTTCGAATTCAATATGATTCACCTTATCAAATACACCGGTATTTAAAAAGGTTTGCACAATTACTCATTATTTTATTAGTGCTTATCCCTTCACCGTCTTAAAGATAATGAATTTACTTTATTTAAACATGTAACCTTAGCTCACATCTTTGAAGAATTTTCGCCTTTTGAAAATGGTCGTGTTATACTGGTGTCCACTTTTCTTTGCATGAAATATATATGCATGTGACGACGCAAAATTATGCGACGAAATTATGACCGCTTACGATTTTCATTCGTCCTCTATTGATTACACTATAAAACTTGTGATTTTAGTCTATATAACCAGCCCATGGTTACCACATCTTGCCGGTCGCCATATTCTGCCAAAACCTTCAAAATTACACTTCATATACATTTTTATAATGGAAAATCAAGACTTGATATCCTGAAATTATGTGCTCTGAATCGTTCGGTGAGTTGACAAGAGATAATAAAAGATTATTAAAAAATTGCAACATGGCTCCTAGTATTTAAACTTGCCCAGTTAAAGTATGATGTTTTTTACTGGCTTTCATGGGTACTCGTCAGTTAATAAAATTTCCTGCAAGAGCCTACAAGACCTGTGACATACATTATACATATATATATAATCAGGAATGGGCGCACACCGATCTATTGGCGTCAAGAAGCAAACAAGCTCCGTATGGGTGTCAACGGTCACGAACGGGCAATTAATTACCAGGCCGAAGTCGGCCAAGTCATAATAGCAGCAAGGAGGGACAACAGAGAATGCGGGTAGATTGATACAGTACTGTTTACGGCTTATTGTGCCTTCATTCAGCCAATCATAACCCTGACCAACAGCTGGGACCAGAATCACAAACATGCGCACAGACAAACCCGGCGCATTTGATCCACCACTGAGGTCTACCAGATGGGTCATAAGCACTTCGTCGAACCGAAGTTAATCAGAGCGTCGCCAAATGTCATTCTCTGTCGCTGCAGATCAAATATGTATTTAATCAGGAATGGGCGCATATATAAAGTGGAATTCGAGCAAGCAGTGAAAAAATCTACCGTATATTTATTTGGATTTTGGTTAATTGGGATTATTCAGCAGCAACACAATCGGTGGCCTCTGTATGCATGTCACAGGTCTTGTAGGCTCTTGCACGGAATTTTATTAACTGAAGAAGACCCACGAAATCCAGTAATTAATAATCTGAATTCTATTTAGTATAGTTTGCATGCTTCTCGAGATGCTAAAGTGCTGATTTTATACCATCCTCACGGATGGTTCACGCCAGGTATTGCCGATCAGTTTAATTTTCATACCGCAGCACTATCGGTGTCTCGGCAACTAGCAACTCCGACAACTTTAAACAAAATAACGAAAACTGAAATTTTAAAAAGAATTACTGATCAATACTTCAAGCTGCGTTATTAGCTGTCTCTTCCGAAACTAGTGCCGTTTCATTAAACCAGACTTGAGTTTCATATGCATTATTCATTCAATAATTCTAACAGAATATTAGATGTGTTTTCCAGATTCACACACTTGTATGTCAGCCTACGTCTAACTAGTCTTACTGGACTTGTAAAATCCTAGTTTCTGTGGTGTTTTTTTTTTATGTGCGGCATCTGAGACACGTTCGATGCAATTACCTACTAACGTATTAACTAGGTATATCGCATATAACATGCGGTTTGCCGTTTGAGACTACTGCCACGTTGCCACACTCACGCTGACTTTCCGTGCAGAATTTTTGCCGATATTTTACAGGTGTTTACTGCAATTATTCATCAGTATTTTAAACTAGCAGTCCGTAACGAGGTATTCTGGGAAATACCGGAGTGCAGTCAAGAATAAAAAAGCATTGTTTTCTCCCCGCGTAGGCAGTACGCAAAGGTGTAGTCAATTTACAGCTTAGTAGCGCATTGACCAAATCCAATTGCCATACCGAATTGCAGAGGAGATTTTGAGAACATATTTTCCTATTTGATGACTGTGTTATTTCGAGTAAGTTGTCACTGCAACATTTCGTTGTTAGAACTAATCGACTGAGAAGTCTTGGCGTATCGTCCGAACAGGAATGTTTGTGGGACTAGCCATATAAATAGACATAATTTTGTTTCCCAAATATTGCAGAAGAAATTTTTACTCTTATAGTTCCATATAATCTCCAATATAATACATAGAGCAAGTGACTGAGAAGGTCCAAGACTACTTATCTCGGAGAAAAACTGCCTGACGTTCTGAAAAGTCTAATCGACTGCTTATTGCTAGTGTATGAACTGTACACGAAGAGGAATAGGGTATTAAAACACTTAATTAAATGTTTAGAATTTGGATTATCACTTTTAGCAATTTTTGGTGTCCTGTCTTTTCACTGTTGTAAGTGGTACATTTGCGGCACAAAAGATGAATTATTTTCCCGCATAGAATGCCACCAACTTTGTCACTGAGGAAAGCACATTGCCTTTTGTCTCGGCAAACAAATTTGAATTAAATTATTTTTGTTCACATGCTAAGATTTCTTTAGAAGTGGCGAAGGTAACAGTCAATAAAACCATTACCCATTGCAATGCTTATAGAACGAGCACAGTACGATGATTTGGGAATGCAAGGCAGGCAAGAAGAATGTTACCAAAAAAAATAAAATGGTTATTTCTTGTAGTTTAAAGTTAGTGTGCTGTCCTAGCAGCAGATATTTGAGCTGATCAGTAAATTTAACTAAGAAAAACGGATTTACTAAAATATTTTTAGTAACATGTCAGGTTGGCATAAAATGGCGTTAATGCTCTGCCCTTAAATTTTACGCGCAATCAAGGAACGCCTCCAAGGTTAAATGCCCAAACTGGACACTACCAAGTGCTTTTTAGAATTAGTTCTTTGAAATTGCAAAGCCTTCTGAGGAGCATAAATTTCCATCCGCTTGTGGAATCTTCCGCTAACTTTCGTTTATTAGGCAGGTTTTTCGAAAAAAGATCTTTTTCGAAATGCTTCAAGCACAATGACGAGGATTTCGTAACGGAACATGGCTTTGGGCATTGACTTTGGCCTTTATTTTTGGTTAACCTGTACAGGAAGACGACGGTGTGAGAATGCAAAAAATAGGAATGTTGCTGCGATGACATATTTAGTAAGCAACCCGATTTAAATTCACCTGAAAGTTTGGATCATTTGTGATTGCATATTACATTATAGTACATATTATCTGGTGACCTTTTGCAAATGGCGCTCGACCGCATGACTGCATCTGTGAACTGCGTTAAAATTTCTGCATAGACTAAATTGCCCTTTTAGAGTATTTGCATATCCTGTTAAAAACCCTATATAACATTGCGTTGCGCACGAAAGTACGTTTGAAATGTCCACAGTAACTCCAGAGCGCTACAGATATAGTTGTCAAATGGAATTATATGTCAAAAAAGGGGATGGGGAATAAATAAGGGATCGTGTATTTGCGTAAGTTATGTCTCCGACAAAAGGCTACACAGTGGATGCACTGATCCAGGGTCCGGCACACTTTGCTGCGCCGCACATGCCACGCATGGCAGGCCTAGACGCAGGATCACGTCACGACAGCCACCTGAACCCCATCCCGCCTCCGACCTCCTTGACGCGAGACCCAGGTAGTCCAGAGAGGAGAGAGTGCGCTGAAAGTTGCTTTAGTCCAATATTACTTTAAACTAATACAAGAGCAAGCCACCGTCCCTGTGCCCAGCCTGTGATGGGATCGACAGTGGATACCTTCGGTAAGTCCGATCAGACTGTTTTTTCAAATGGTGATTGATTAGAAGCTTTGAAAATTAGTTAACTGACCTAGTTGCACTACGTA